AAATGTCCCCTCCAGACCAGGTACATCGGCATTACCCGGATTGAGTCCTTATAGTGCTAGATGGACATCATCACTCGAGACACCATTTTCCCATGTTTAGACCAATTGTGTTTTTGTTATTTTTGATGTACATAGAGAATTCAGTTTGAAGATCCACAGACTGTAGAAAAGTGCCAATCTTTGAACTCTTCTTGTTAATAAAGTCCTTTCTTTCAATAAATCCAGACATAACATGAAACTTCTCTATATTCTGACATTTTTATAGTACTATAAATCACAGGGGCCGGTAACAATGTTTCTGAGTAATGAGGGTTTGTATCGTATACATCTAGTATACCAAGTCTTCATCCCCTAGGGAAAATGTTACAAGTCCCTGTGCTATAAGTGCCCAATTGTGTTAGCTTGGAAGGTTATAGCTAATGTGCTGTTGGAAAATCATTATTTACACGTTTAGGTCGATTCTTGGTCGAACTTGAAGTAGACTTTTTTCCCACTTTTATGGAGGTTGGAAGAGGATGGGGGTTAGGGGGTTGTTGATAGGAAAGTATGCTAAGTGAAATGTATGGCAGGTCATAAGATGTGAGGAACTTTAGGGGAGGAATCCTATTTCCAGGATGTGAGGTACCAGCATCTTTATAAATGAATGTTGCGATATTTGTAGAAATAATGTCAATAGCTTGAAAGTGTCTGTTAAGAAGAAAATATTCTACATGTACAGTTATAACGGCGAGCATTCTGTATGACAAGCCAAGTTGTTATTTTCATTCATGGAAAAATATTGATTAGGTTCTTGACCAAATTATAGAAGATATCAAATTGTATCAGAAAATTCAATAATTTTATAGGGTTAGGAGACTCCAGAACTCACAGAGTCTCAGGAGGACCAGTGGTAATAGAGGAGGAGACTCCAGAACTCACAGAGTCTCAGGAGGACCAGTGGTAATAGAGGAGGAGACTCCAGAACTCACAGAGTCTCAGGAGGACCAGTTGCTATAGAGGAGGAGACTCCAGAACTCACAGAGTCTCAAGAGGACCAGTGGTATAGAGGAGGAGACTCCAGAACTCACAGAGTCTCAAGAGGACCAGTGGTAATAGAGGAGGAGACTCCAGAACTCACAGAGTCTCAAGAGGACCAGTGGTAATAGAGGAGGAGACTCCAGAACTCACAGAGTCTCAGGAGGACCAGTGGTAATAGAGGAGGAGACTCCAGAACTCACAGAGTCTCAGGAGGACCAGTGGTAATAGAGGAGGAGACTCCAGAACTCACAGAGTCTCAGGAGGACCAGTTGCTATAGAGGAGGAGACTCCAGAACTCACAGAGTCTCAGGAGGACCAGTGGGAATAGAGGAGGAGACTCCAGAACTCACAGAGTCTCAGGAGGACCAGTTGCTATAGAGGAGGAGACTCCAGAACTCACAGAGTCTCAGGAGGACCAGTGGTAATAGAGGAGGAGACTCCAGAACTCACAGAGTCTCAGGAGGACCAGTTGCTATAGAGGAGGAGACTCCAGAACTCACAGAGTCTCAAGAGGACCAGTGGTAATAGAGGAGGAGACTCCAGAACTCACAGAGTCACAGGAGGACCGGCGGTAATAGAGGAGATTCTAGAACTCACAGAGTGTCAGGAGGGCCAGTGGCAATAGAGGAGGAGACTCCAGAACTCAAAGTGTCAGGAGGGCCAGTGGTAATAGAGGAGGAGACTCCATAACTCACAGAGTCACAGGAGGACCAGCGGTAATAGAGGAGGAGGCTCCAGAACTCACAGAGTCTCAGGAGGACCAGTGGTAATAGAGGAGGAGACTCCATAACTCACAGAGTGTCAGGAGGGCCAGTGGTAATAGAGGAGGAGACTCCAGAACTCACAGAGTCTCAGGAGGACCAGTGGTAATAGAGGAGGAGACTCCATAACTCACAGAGTGTCAGGAGGGCCAGTGGTAATAGAGGAGGAGACTCCAGAACTCACAGAGTCTCAGGAGGACCAGTGGTAATAGAGGAGGAGACTCCATAACTCACAGAGTGTCAGGAGGGCCAGTGGTAATAGAGGAGGAGACTCCAGAACTCACAGAGTCTCAGGAGGACCAGTGGTAATAGAGGAGGAGACTCCATAACTCACAGAGTGTCAGGAGGGCCAGTAGTAATAGAGGAGGAGACTCGAGAACTCACAGAGTCACAGGAGGACCAGCGGTAATAGAGGAGGAGACTCGAGAACTCACAGAGTCTAAGGAGGGCCAGTGGTAATAGAGGAGGAGACTCCAAAACTCACAGAGTGTCAGGAGGGCCAGTAGTAATAGAGGAGGAGACTCGAGAACTCACAGAGTCTCAGGAGGACCAGTGGTAATAGAGGAGGAGACTCCATAACTCACAGAGTGTCAGGAGGGCCAGTAGTAATAGAGGAGGAGACTCCATAACTCACAGAGTCACAGGAGGACCAGCGGTAATAGAGGAGGAGACTCGAGAACTCACAGAGTCTAAGGAGGGCCAGTGGTAATAGAGGAGGAGACTCCAAAACTCACAGTCTCAAGAGGACCAATGGTTGTCTACTCTTACTCAATATCCTTGTTATCCTGAGTAAAACTTACGAGAGTTAAACGTTATAACAAATGTCACCAAAATCTACATTTTGTTGGACATGGTTTTTGTTAGGGTAATTTAGGAACCATTTCGTTTTTATCATAATATCTATATGGCTTCATATTTTGTATAAAGAAAGAAAATGAACTCTGTTATTTTTCCTATTGAATTCAAAGACGCATGTATATGTATATGTATAAGACCCCGTGGAAGCACACCAGGCCTGCATTCTTTTTCATGAGATTGCTTGAACTGTTTTTATTTTAAATCATCCAAACCGAATCGTTATGACTAAATGAAATTTTCAGTAAACTTTTCACAACGTCATTTGTTATCAGGGGTGATTATTTGCTGGTAATTTGACTACCTGGCCAAACAAGGCTTAAACAATGACATCGATCTCGATATTTTATCACAATCGTGACACAAGATAAAAAGTATGGTACATGTACATCAATAAAAATTGTACATTATATCTACACATTTATTAATCATTACAGGTAAAAATCTTATCACTTCGTGATATTACATACACATACAGGGACGGATGTTTATGTAAACAAATTAAGTCATCGCCAGCTATTGTTAAATACTAATTCCATTCAAGTGGTGTGATTTCACCATTTAACGATTGGGTAAACCGAATTCATTGATTAAGTGGTTTATGAAACGAGTCTTGTAATATTTTTAGAGAGCTTTTGATAAAAGAAGTCACTCTACAGACTAAGTTAAATCTTTCTTATATCAATGAATAATATGAATTTAATCATATCATGTAATATCCTATTGTGACGTCAGGATTAGATTTAAAATGACGTCATACATCCGCAAATTGTATTATGAAGTCAAAATTTGTAGATTATAGAGCTGAAAGCATTTTCTGAAATATTTGTTACAATTATCGGTCGTGTGATAAAAGGATTTTATAAATTCTTTTCCATTGAATATGTGAGTTATTAAATTTGATCGTAGACGTGGCTATTGATGTTAGATATGCTAAATGACATCCATAAATATGACGATAAAGCTGTTATTTGTATATCAGTTTAGAACCATCACAAAAACCTGTTAGCTAATTTACTTTGCTAGCTCAACATTACTTTCAGATGATATTATTTATTCCATTTAAAAAAAGGAGAAACTATGTGCAGACTATAATTATTGTTTATGTTTAGATATCCTTAAGAGTCATTTTTCGCTAGCTGCCGTGCACTATGTCGATGAACTGTCATCAAACAATACATAAATGACCAAAACTGTGTTCATACTCCAATATTTATGTAAAAACTGACCGATGAAAGGCCATCTTTTAAAAATAGAAAATATCCACAGATACGATCTCAAACTCGCTGACCTCAGTGAAATGATCAACATGTGTATCAGACATGTAACTTCATTTCCATTTCTGATGACATTACTACAGAGACGCTTCGGTTAGCTAAATGTGATCCAGAAGTTCATATGTATTACATAAATTCATTATTAGAACAGGAATGACGTTTTAATGAAAATAAAAATGAAAATAAAAATACATTTATAGTGCTAAAGTGGCGGACAGCTGCGTTTCAGTGTGCACCTTTTCCAAAGTGTTACATTCAAGGTTTTTATTCTTTTATCCTTTTTTTCTCAGATAAGCCGTATTTCTTGGTAAACTTTTTTCCAACACAAACAATTTGAATAATGTTGATTTCCATCACTCGTACTACAACTCGCTACAAATCGGAAATGAGTTATTAAAAGTGGTACAAATCATCGTTTTTTTTCTATAGAAGACGTGCAAGTTTGGACTTCCGTAGCCAAAACATTACCAATAGGCGTGGCCTTTATTCATGGCAGTTTTTCTTCACATGCCAGACGACAACGGAACCTTAAAATCTGCGGATGAATTGATAGGTTATTTCATCATGTATAGGGGGATGTTTCACATGTAAAAATGTGTATTAAGAAAAAATACACAAATTTGCTAATGAAAATTGTACTCATATTTTAAAGTGAATAATTTAAATAATATTTCTTTCTGGAAGCGTGACACGTTACAACAACCAAATTTATCCGGGTACAAGGTCACGAAGGTTAATAGTTTATATTATACGGCTCGACAAAATGGCCGTTCCAAAATGTGTAGTAGTCCGAGAACCGATGTCCAGACGACAAAATGAAATGAAAAAAAATATCATGTTTAACGATATATATTATTTGCGTTCCCGTTGGGCGTCGAACGCTTCATTTTCGTTAATGCCATTATCTTTATTTTGGAAAACTGACACTAGCCCTTCGATATATGAGTCAAACGTCACGAGCGATCCTGTCATCCATAGAAAACATTCAAGTGCTAGCTAATCGATTACAGGGAGTGACATTTTCTCTCTTTCTGAGGGTGACGTCATTTCATGTGACGTTTGCGACTGCGCATGTGTGCGGAAGTAGGTGATCTGCCATCTTTCCAACTCACCGACACCTGTAAATAAATCCAGGAAATTGTGGGAGTCAGACGCAAGCTTTACTAATTCGTCGGTCTTGGGTTGCTTGATATTTAGCCATGTCAGACTTTGACAGCAATCCCTTCGCCGACCCAAATGCGGCAAGCCCGTTTGCGGTAAGAAATTTAATCGTAATAAATGTGATGTGGCTGTCAGTCGAGAACGTTATATATATTTTTTACATAGAATCTACAGTATACCTTTCTGTTTGGGTCAATATGTATCATTAGATATGACTCATCATGGTCACATGCATGCCATTCTTCTGTCAGAATAATTCATCAAATGATTTTCAACTGTAATGCACACAAATTGATGGAAAATATGGAGTGATTCCTCCCACTTTCCCCTAACACTCTCTGTAACCTGTCTTCGTAATGAGACGGAGGCTGGATTGGGTCAGCAAGAAAGAATGTAATCTCGAAGGGGTCAATAATAGGCCATTGCGATAGAGAGATTAAAAATGAATTTTCTCGAGTTCTTTATCAGTTACAGTAATTTACAGGTCAACGTTAATGCGATATATGTAATATGTAAGTTTCTTATAATTATGATGGATCAATTAAAAGGTGTCCCATGATCAGGTTCCTCAATATTCAATCCTGTCTCGTGATGAGAATTGAAAACTGATCAACGATGCACACTGGAACATAAATATTTATGAAAAATCCAAACATTGTGGCAAAATTGTTTACAGTATATACCAGAGACCATGAGAGGTATATAACATGTCTCTAAGTATATCAAGTAGGGCTGTCATGGGCACAACAATTTGCCCAAATATTTTGTTTTATCAATTATTATTCAGGACAACTCATTTATCATTGACATTATCATTTGTCTCTTCCAATGCTAGGATACTAGTCTGTGTTGAGTTGAACTTCTATCTAAAAAAGTTAACTTTTGGAAGAAAACAAAATAAAATAGTTATGTTGAGAAATGATTGTACTTATGAATTTGGACAGATGGAAGGGAGGCAACTGCAAATTAAAATGTTAATGTTCCTTACTGGTCATGATCACATCACAACAAAAATATTTTGGCTCATGTGTGCAGGAATTGGGTAAATACAAGTCAGATTTGGATAGGTTTAAGTAGATTTGGTGAAGTTTTGGGTAATTTCTCGCACATGGCGTTACATGTATAATTTACAAACTGAGTTCTATCATCCATACCTCCATGAATCAGAATCATACACATTTTTCAGGTAAAAAAGCCCATGTATACAAGTCGTGTTTAGTCTCTTGTGTATGTCCCATTTGGTATTGTTACAAAAGATGTATAGTAACTGGTTATGTTCATTGAAGGGACATCTTCAGAAGTGATAAAGATGTATCCTCACTTATTATTATTGTATATATAAATACTCACTGAATTCATAATAATAGCTGTATTATGTATATAATCTGATTCATTGTTACAAATTTTAATTACCAGCAGTGCTCATAGCGATTGAAGGAAATGTGCATAAATGTTTTGACTAGGTGATTATATCAAGTCAATTTTCTTGTGATTTTGTTTTCTGTGTTGATCAATCCGCAAACAGTTTCCTTTTAGTGGCTTGTGGGTACCTTATTGAATAATATATAAGAGGCCTGTCCCGTGCCATGCCATTCGGAGCAATTTATGTAAAGTGTCTTGCCTAATGACACAACAATGACAGCACAGAATGTTCTGTTTCTCTGCTTCCTGAGAAACACAAACAACCTTGGCTAGGGACTGAGTGTTGAACTATGTACCCTGGATCTTCACCCAAGGTTATGTAGACACTCTAACCAACTTAACGATTGCAGCCCTTAATTTTCAAGTAAATAAGTAATGCACATACATGTAACAATTAGAACTAGGCTTGAAAACATTTTAGCAAACTGTCCAATGATTTTCTCCTATTCAGTTTTGAAATTAATCTTTCAGGACCCTTCGGTACAGCAGGCAACACAAGGAGGACAAGGAGGAAGACAAGGAGGACTAGATGATTACAATCCGTTTGCTGATGGAGGCAACCAGACACGGCCTGCGGCAGGGGTCAGTATTAGTGGTAAAATCGACAGAAATAAAGTTATAATTATTTAGTATCTGAACAATGCAAGGCATTTGGTTAATATAACTCACAAGACACCTTTTTTTAGTTGATTTTATTTTATATTTTTTTTGTCTTTTTAGGAAAAACTTGAACTGTGACAAAATGATAGCAGACTGTCTAGATCTTGTAATATTCGTTTATAAATGTTAGATGCTGTCATTACTTATTGAAACAATTTGCAGATGAAGTTAGATGTCCCTTTTTTCTTCTTCATTATCTGCAATGATAAGTTAAAGTAAAAGTAGGTTAAATCTTTTTGGTGTAGAGAAAAAGGTTTTGAGAAGCAACTTTTTGTTCCTACAGTTTGGAGGATAATTTTGTTAATCTCAATTTGAGATCCAATGTATAGTATTTAAAGATATGTATCTTTTCTGTTGGACTATAGTCAATGAGTGAAGAACCTTTATTACCGGTATACACATTTTAAGTGTCCTTTCATTTTGCACTATTCCCGACACACATCTGGGGTTGTAAAAATTTGTTTAAATGCATTTGCCTGAGGTAAATTTTTATTGCTGTGTATATAAAAGGTAAGAAGTTGTCCATGCCTCTATATGTAACTAAGGCAAGTGTGTTCAATTTTCACAAATTTGTTTTTGTGAAATCTGAATTCCTGGACAAGTGGATTTTTACATCCCTAAATTTTATTTTCTTCAGTGATTGCACTTATGGCATGTTCCCATTGCCTCCACTAACACAGCTAGTTATTATCCCATTGTAATAAATATCAAAGCTTTCTCAGTAGTGTCACTCCTTTAAATCACTCTACCAACATCCACAATGTGTACGACAGACGTAATGGGTTTAATTACGATTTACATGTCATGATTTTTTCTAAGACTGAAGACAAGAAATCAAAGGAAAAGAAAAAAGAGGATAAAACGGTAAAGGATTTTTACCAGAAACTTGTTAGATAGCCATTTCTAGTAGCAGGGAAAGGGATTTTTATTTACTACTCTTTCTCTTTTATTTGGTGCAAAAAGGGTTTTATATATAGTAAGTAACTGATTCCCTTGATTTCCAGCATTCAGAGTCAAAGTGATGTCATGATGAATTCAAATTCAGAGTATTGTTGCTGAGGTATTTCTGAATGTAAAGGTTGACAGTAGTTTTAAGTTATGTAGCAGGATAATATGTAAAATTGGAATGGTTTCATATGGTGGGAAATCCTTAATATAAATTGAGCTTTCACCACAGTCAAAATGGCATAAAGTAGATGTATGTGGATAACCTATAATTTATTGCAAGTAGATTGATAAACATGCATCTTATCATTGAATTGATTGAGTTTTGAACAAAATAGAATGTAATTTTCATCTTTTGATTAATCATATAACTAGACTTTTTCTTCACACAGAATTACTCAGTAGTATTATGGTCATATTCTTACCATACCAATATTTAGTACATGCTTTACTTACATTTTATTTGATAATTGATCTTGAATTAACTTTTGAGCAGTGACATGCAGCTCTGATTTACAGTGATCATGACATTCCAAGACTTTGGATGTTGAAAAAGATAGACATGTGTATTAAATGTTACCTGGCTTTGCTGACATATTGATGTGTCCAGCTTGGGTTTATATTTGGTAATTCATTCTAAATTTATGAATTCTTTATTTCAGTTATATACATGTTATATGTTTGAGTATCAAATTTCGTCTCCATTTGTCATAAAAATGAGTGTTTAGGAAAATATCTGTGTAACTGTTACCTAGTAAGTGTCCCATCTACTCTGTTGCAATGATGAAAATACATACCCTTTCAACTGGAAACCAGTGTATGATATATTAATGGGAATATTGGTGGAAATTTTACTGTTATTGTACCTTATACTTGTTTTCTATTGCTGCTTTGGTGGTGGTTTATGTTTAAATTAGGTTTGATCAGTTTCTTATTGTCATATAGATTCATTTTAGGGTACAAATATGCATCAAGTTTTATTGTAATATCTGTAATTCACCTCTTCATTTTGTACTCATTGTGACATGAAAATCTGAGGAAAGCATAAATTAGTATGGATCGCTGTTCCGTTGACCTTGGGTTATTTGTATCATGTAGCTAGTGCCAGGTTTTGATTGGATGATTTTGAATTTGGTTATTTTGGAAAGAGAATGACTCCTAACAATAGCTAGTGCTAAAGATATTTTTTAAGAAAAATTTGGAATGAGGAAAAATGAGAATATACCTGTATATTTGTAGTCATGATTAGCTTTGGTGTATTAAAAAGATTTTATGTATCTGTAATTAATGATCCAATCATATATTGATTAGTTGATGATTGACCCATAATTCAACAAATTTCATTAAATTCATCAATTTCATTGTTGTGTTGTTGTTGTGATTGTTCCGATTATTTCTAAGCCTACCAGTGGACGGTACACATTGTTTACACATTATTATATTAAATGCATTGTACCTGCTGACAGGGACAGAACAGAGGTGGTATTCCCCCTCCCCAACCCTCACAGCCTGGGGGTCAGCCAGCCATCATGCAGCCATCAGAAGAGCCTCCACCGTACTCTGCCACCTCTGCCCAGAGAGTCAATACAGATGATCTCCAAAAACGACAAGAGGTAGGGTATACGATCATTCCCTAGAATTCTTAGGTCAGGAAGAGGAAAACTAGACTAGCAAATATAAAATTAAAATGACACCCTATCTCTACAGCTTTTGTAGGTAGTTTTGGACGATAGCAACCACGTATTGAGGAAACATTATGATCTTGATCTTTTTTCTTTAATTTATTTCTTTTGGGATTTGATAAAGCAATAATATTTGTACATATCTAATCATATTATCATTTCAAATACATATGTGTAGTTTTTCTCTATAATGGAAAAAAATATTCAAATTGACCTTTTGTCATCATAAAAGTTCCCTTAAAGTACATTTTCAATTCTAAAGCAATTGATGTCTTTATGGAATTGAATTGTCAGTTTTAGTTTTAATATTTTAATGTAGGAACTAGAAAAGAAGGCAGCAGAACTCCAGAGAAAGGAACAGGAAATGAGAAACATGCAGTTTCAAGGTAACAGCATCCTCGATATTCCAGCAGATTACAATCACGTTTGCTCTCTGCACCTCTGGAACATCTCATAGCAAAATTACATATTAGACAACTTACAGATACACAAGTTTGATCCTTTGACGTACATGGAACGAATCTTGAGGTCTCCTAGCGGTATATTGTAATGGCTTTGAAGTTGGGTGTTGCTCCCTTTGTAATCTTCAGAAGGATCGTATCAATGTATCATATTATGATTAATTCTTAAGATCTTGGCCCAGTAGTTCTGTATCTGAAGTTGAGTTTGCATCCCTGTAAAATTGTCAACAGTTGTACTTTTTGAGTAATTGTTTGCAATTCAATCTAGTCTGGATATATTTGCAAATATTATTGCAAAAAGTCTTTTACAGTGTACCATATTTGATCAGTTTATATGCAGATTCTAACCAAAATCCTGTTGTAAGGTATTACATTATACAACATTAAGCAAGAGCTATTCCACTAAAACATCTTTTTCACTGAGATTCCAGGTTTTGTACCCTAGAATTTCATTGATAATTTGCCTGGAGTAAATAGCATGAAATTAAACCATGAATAGAAGTGGATTTTTTTCTTGAAACATTGGGTTAAGTGGAGATATTTTAATGGAATAGTCCTGATTTGTTTTTACCTTGTATTTGTCTTTACTTTTGTGTAATAGTCTAATACATTGCTATTGTTGATAACATGCTAAGGAAGGTCTTCAGCAATGACAATGGATATTATACGACCATCACACCATTGCTAAAACATATATGGTATAAATTAGTTATAGAAAAATTGAAAATTTGTCATTAGCTTTTGATTCTAAATGAAAATTTTAATTGATTTATATTGTGATGCCTTTTTTTCACCAGAGCGACAGAACAACTGGCCCCCAGTCCCTAGTTGTTGTCCAGTAGGCCCATGCTTTTACCAAGACTTCAGTGTCGATATTCCTCTTGAATTCCAAAGGACAGTCAAACTTGTCTACTATTTATGGATGTGTAAGTATCAATAACAGTGGTAGCCAGCTGAAAAACAGTCTTCACTTGTTTTCTAGATGAGAGATGTTTGCAGGTCTGTTTAAGCTTTGTGGTAGAATTGTTTAAAATTGTCATATTTTTCATTACATCATTTGCTGTTGATTGCAATTAGTTATCATATGGTGAAACATGTATTGTTAAATATATCCAAGATTTAATCCTTCTGTTTCAGTTTACTGTATAACTCTGTTCCTGAATGTGCTAGGAAGTCTTGCCTACTTCATTGCGGACGGGGATGGTGGTGCCACATTTGGGTTGTCTCTCGTCTGGTTTGTGCTGTTTACCCCTTGTTCCTTCATCTGTTGGTACAGACCCTTGTACAAAGCATTCAGGTAACTCCACGACAGTAATTAGGCGGAATAAAAGAGTTTCCTATGATGTCTTTGTGATGTACTCTGTAGGAAAAGATTTTTATTCCTTTTTGAATGCAATGACTTGGAGAGGAAGATATATATACAATATTTGCTGTATTGGGTATAGACATACATGAAAAGCAATGTTCATTATTGTTTCAAAGTTTCTACAGTTCTGTGCTGCAGTATAGAAGTAGACAAAATCCCTGAAAATGTGTTTTGGTGTTTTTTCATCATTGAATTACTCTTAAGAACATGTAGGTCATTAGGGGAGGGACAGAACAATGTTTCAATAAGATTCTCCTCATACCTGTTTAAGGTATTTAATGATGGTAAAATGATTCATATCTGTAACCGGTGTCTAGAGATCTGGCTAAATCTTGTTCTTGTTATTTTTCTTTATGTTGTGTTGAGAAATAGGGAATAGAAAGTCTTTATACTAGTAGATGACTCATTGTCTCCCAAATCACATTTTATAAAAGACCTCATGTCCTTACTAGTATTACTATGCAGACTGGTAAAATGTAACTTGTTTATTTTTCTTATTTTCAGGAGTGATAGTTCCTTCAACTTCTTTGTTTTCTTCTTCATCTTCTTTTTCCAATTCATTGTCTGTGTTATCCAGGCCTTAGGAATTACAAACTTTACAGTGTAAGTATATTTTATCGATAACTGTTTTTTAGTTTCCTCATTCTGCTGTTGCATAATATCGTCTAATTCCATTTGTTGAACTAGAATTTGTGCTCGAAGAAAAAATGTAGTTGAAAATTAAATAAAAATTTGTGCTTTATGAAAAAATGTAGTTGAATTCTGATCAGTTATATATGAATGCAAACAACATTGTCTTTGCCTTGGAGTAGTATGTACACATTTATAAAATTTCAACCAAAAAAAAATTTTTTTTCCTACCTACCTACCTAACCCTAAACTTCCCAATTAGGTTTGGGCAAACAAACAATATCTTAATTTTTACACTTAGGAAGAGTGAAAATGGTTCACTTTTTCTGTCTGTCAATCAGTGTCGCTCTATTCATACATCACTGTGGTTAAATATTTAGATTACCTCTATTTTTTTAATGTTGAAGAACTCGGTCATAAAAGCTTGAGATGCATCTTCAATACAACACTCTCGTGTGGTTTTAGGTAACTTTGTCACTGATGGACCATTTACTTTATTTCAGATATATTTAATCTTTTGCACATTGTGTGTAACTTTGTTTAGATTTCTAACCTATGATACTTTATACAGCTGTCAAATTTTGTATATGAATCTATGTGAATCTCTTTTAATTGATGTCAAATTGTTGCATACTGAAATTTCACCGTTCACCAAAATGCTCCTGCTTATGTATCTAGGTATCAAAGAGTCTGAAGCATTGGTGTCACTAAGGATTTATGTTCACTGTTTTGCTTTTTCAACTAAAAAACAACATTGAAACAAGTTATATCAACTGAACGATAATCCCCTAAAATCTTATTTTTTTTCAGTGGTATCATCGGTGGCCTGTCCATTGTTGGGCACAACATAGCGGCAGGATTAATCATGATATTTGTTGGAATATTCTTTGGTCTGACAGCCACTGTTGGGCTTTTTGTGTTGGGCAAGGTAGATAACTCATTATGATTAGATCTATATCAAGATCATCTGCCTAGTGGAATGTTTGCTGACTATTCCCAGTGACTGGCTGCGGGATGCATTAGATATCACCAAACTTGTTCTACACATTATGTTGTAATTGTGCTTTGTGTACTAAAATAGAAAAATGCTTGCTGGATGTTATAAATCATGAAAAATGCAAATGCCTGGTTCAAAGAACTTGTTCTGTCACATCATTCAAACTTGTTTTCAATACCAATGTATAAGGTATGAACTTTCAAATGTGTTTCAAAAAGAAAAAAGTATATCTGCTAAAAGGTAATTTCAGTATCTGTTTACTCTATTGAGTGGATTGTTTGGGACAGGCATGGCATTCACTGTATTATAACAACCTGTATGGATTACGGAATGGAGTAAATACATGGTTCTATTCCAAAAGCATTCACAGGAAATGACAGAAAATACCAATTTCCTTTGAATGTTGTAATGTGCATGTAAATGTCATTTTAGTTTTAAGAAATGTAATTATAAAAACTCATGAGAAATTTTCTAAATTCTGTGCACACTTAATGTAAAAGAGCTGATGTTTTGAAATAGAAATATATTGATGTTTATGCTGTAAAAAGTAAAGTTAAATTGTTGTTGATAATATCTTTCTGGACATGAGATTACTATTTGTTAAAAGTGCACTTCTTTTACAATTGTGAAGCAACCGAATGATTTGATAATTACATTATTAGTTGGTGTCCTGTGAAAATGTGTGTAATTTTAATGGTATTCCTCAATACAACAAACATTTCAAAGATACAGTAATATGATTCAAAAACATCTTGACATTTGAATTCTAGATAAAATGAATTGTTTGTTGAAAGTATGGATTGCCATAACACTTATTATGAAATGGTTGCTACTCTGAGCAAAATCTTGTCATTGGAGAAAGAAATGTCTTATGATATTAATATACAACAGTACACAAGATTTTATAGATAGTGATCATTTCTTGATATTTTAAAAATTTTCATGAATAAAAGAACAAGTGTACAAATTGATCAAGACCGTTTTTCACAAACCATTTACTGCTGTATTGAATTGAAATTATTGAGCAGGCATTTCTTTTTAAAAAAAAATCAAAATATTTTTTTTATTTCATAGCAATGAAAAAAATTTGATGAATGAATTTGTTTCTGGACGTGTTTATGGAAGTATGAAAATAATCTTTCTTCGTGTCTTTGTCTTCAGAATAAAGTTGACTGTTCTGTAGACCTGAAGGCAACATTTTAATATCAACTCTGTCAAAGGAAAAATGGGAAAGCATAAAAGTAAACATTTTAAGTGCCCAACTTTGACTTTGTGATAAATTAACAGATAAGTGACTTGGTCTTTATTCTTGAAGGTTTAAAAAAAAAAACCCACACACTTTATTTTCAGGTTATTATATGCATCATAATTACTAACAAAAAGCTTCCTTGCCTCCACCTTGCTCTTCCAAGTAGAAGTTATTCTTTTAAGTTTTATTTTATTTTTTTTTCGTTGTAGAGGGTGGATTAATTCTCTCGGTATCGTTGGCCAACACACATTCTCGGGAGCAGTGATGTTATTCATTTCATTTTTCTTTACTATATGCGCTGTTATACAGATCGTCATGCTGATCAAGGTGGGTAGTGTGGTTGTTAGCTTGGCTCGGGGAGGGGGATGTAGTGATGAATTCTGCTCCTACATCACTTTCCACTATAAAGAAGGGCTAATTGAACACTTTATGATAGTATTCTTGTAGCTTATGCTAGGGTTAATTAGTTTGATTAGGGTCAAACCACACTCAAATAGTATGTTACTTTTAGATAAGTTATGGGCAAATTATGGTAAACATTTGGGGTTAGTGGGATACCAAATTAATCGGTATCAAGGTTGAAACCAATGATGAAGATTACACTCATTTGGAAATAATGGATGGTATATAGTGTGCCTTTATCTAAAACAATGTGGCACAAATTGCTTACTGGATAGAAGGCAGTTTTTGTTACAGCATTTTTACATAGAAAATAATCTAATTGAAAGTTATAAGTCTGCATTGTGAAAATTTAGTTCATTTTTTTAACCTTTGCCTGTGGGTTAGTGGAAATGGAATAGAAGCTCAAACAAATGGGCACTCAAGCAGAATATGACGCTTTGACTTGTAACAAGCACAACCGCAGTTTATTAATAAATCAAAAACATTTTGATTCGTCAGCATATGGGACTTAAAAAGTCCAGAAGAGAGTTTAGGATTAGTCTCTTGTTAAGTACAGCCTTTTTGAGTTTCATCAAAATTGTAACATTTGTGCTTAAAGTTACAATTTATGGAATAATGCTCACTAAAAAATCCCAATGAAACTTCAAGGAGAAAGAATGATAGCCTAGATGTTTCTTCATGAAGCAAGCTTAAGCATTGCCTGATTTTGATAGTGCATGCTTTTTATGTTTTATACAGCAAATGACAATGCTGGGAGTGTAGTTTCTTTCAAATAAATGTGTTTCCTAAAGCTACCTAAACATTAGGAATAGCTGTTGACCAATAGTCTTGGAGAATGGGTATAATTTGGTCATACACTGTATAGCAGTTCTCAGTTTAAACTTAACTCATCAAAACAACAGGTCTTGTAATTAAAATTACCCATATGAATTTCCTTACAGCTTTTCTGTTAAGTAAAGTGATATTTCATTAGATGTTATTAATTGATTCATTTTTCCAGTTTTACAATCATATTTAATAAAGAATTGAAAATAAAACAAATTTTTTATATTCATTCATATTCCTGTATAAATAGTGATAGGCTCCACAAGATGTCTCTGTTGTCAGCTCCTTACTTAAATCTATATATTTTCTTTTGAGGCTTGATCTGGGAAGTTAAAAAACTAACATGAACAATGGTTATTTCTCTCAACTGGTGGTATTAGATATGGTGTCATTCCTGGTTTTCTGCATGTCATTTCCAGCATGTTTTGGAGTATGTCCATTGGTGAAAGTCATTATCTGTATTGTTATGTTTGTCCATGTTCACCTAGTAAAATGCTGTTTCATATGATCACATCTGATCAAGCCTGTTGCAAGGATTTGATACATCGAGGATGAAACTAAATCAAATGCACGAAAAACATGAAGTGTTGTTGCATGTAATTGTTTAAACAATTTATGAAATATAAACTTGCTAAATTTTTATATAAGTTTATTAGTTTCTTGTGGTCTCTTCATTAACACCATACACTGACCAGCTGTACCTCATATGGTGTTGTGTAACGAACAGCTGTATTCAATTATACGAGTTTAAAGATGTCTACTGTATATTCACTCATTTGTTATAAAAAACATTTTTGTGAAAAAGTAGTTGATAAAGCCTTCATAGAAAATTTCTCTTTGGTAAGTTTTTCTGATAAGTTATTTCCTAACCACTTGAGAATTTATGAAGTGATTTGGCAGTATTAACATCTGTACTTATGTTTTAAACATATCTAAGGATGTAACATATGTTTTCTTGGAAATGTTTTTTTTTTATATATATATATAAAACATCTCCTTTAACAGCCATTATTCTGATAATGTATGTTTGAATTTTTATTTTTGCTTGATTGTTCATGTAGGTGCATAGAATATACCGAAGCACAGGGGCAAGCTTTACCAAAGCTCAGATGGAGTTCTCTCAAGGTGTAATGAAGAATGAAGCTGTGCAAAATGCCGCATCTACTGCAGCACAAGGAGCAGTCAAAGGAATGGCCAATCAGTATGGCACGTCAAACAAGTACTAGACTACACTGAGGAACCAACTGCACCCTTTCCAGTAGCATACAAGTTCTTAATGACTGTGACCATCACAGTAGAGGGAACAAGATATTCGGGAATAGTACTGTCTTGTGATGTTGCTGAAAATTTACCTGGTGTGTATGGCCAGGTATTGAGTACGTGCTATGGTAATTGTGAAGGCTGGACCTGGACGATGTGAGATGGTACTCTTAAATAGCATTGTTGTGGTTGTTCTCCAGTTATCTCCCTTGTGTGAGCAGGAAGCTCTCAATGCCACACATACACCTGATGAAATGTTCTGATTAACTGTGAAATGAAAAACTTTGTTGTTGTTACAACAAACATTGACTAGAAACTGTTTACTTTGAAATTGATGCTTATATGACCCTTTGGCTGATTGGATGTAGTTGATTTATTTCTTTTATCATTAGAGGTGTACTCAGATAATTTGTAGAAAAACAGGGGATAGAAAATAAATGGTTAAAATAGAATTTTGTCATAAAGGTTCTTCAATTTTGATATTGTAACATAATGCAAAACCTATTCATAATTAAATGCATATGTTTTACTTTTCTACATTAAACATAAAGATGTTAAATGGCGAGATAGTACATGAAGGGAAACATAAAATGACATTATGTCTAGGTCTTTACAACACCTGATATATTGCCAACAAACATATCAGTGCTATTTAAGGTCTATCATGAGATACAAAATATAAGAGATTGTTTTCAGTCTTATATTCCACAAATTGAATTTTACACTATATTATGATGTGTATATATGGGCGTGTGTCAGTAGACAGTCGTGAGGTATGAAAGATAAGCTTAACTTATTCATGTAGTGTGATATTATAGTACTGTAATCCTGTTAAATGTTTGCTCTGCAAGAGAAATAGGAAAGATAGAGACTAGATTCCAATCGATGTGAAATCTATCACATAACACTACTCTGCAGTTAATTGTTAAAAGTATAATTGCCTGTCTGATTTGTTTCAACTATGAATATAAAGAAAATAATCAATGTGGCATTGCCTGGTTATGATAAAATCTTGTGAGTTATCTGGAAAATTTAGTTTGTGGAGACAGAAATGTAGCCAGAGATTTGGTGTCCTGGAATGAAATGTGGAGATTTTAGAGTTTGTGGATTGGAATGTAGTTGAGGTGTTGATGTTCTGATGTGTCTAAATGTTACAATCTGTCACTCTCTTAGCCAGATAGGTGTCGTCATTTTTCCCGTTTCATTTTATTCTCTTTAGGTGAAGATGTCAAATAGTGATATGAATTAAGATATATCTTGTAAAGCGGTTTTAGGTTGGTGTATATGAAGTGCTATTCAATTATCAAGTACATTATTGTCCATTGACACGGAAGTTCAGACTTTTCACATTAAGCTGATTTATAAATATGTATATTTTTTTTCTTTATTCATGATTTATTCATTCAAAGTAAAGGAATTAGGATCAAATGAAGTAATACTATTCTTTAACTACTTAACAGTGAAAATTGGATTTTTAAAAAACTAGTGAAGCCAAAGCTAAAACATTTTTTTCTTATTTACTGAAGTTGTCTGATTTCAGTTTTGATTGGGGAGTTTTGTTTGTATTCAATCAGGTAACATTTTGATATTAATGCTGTTGTTTTTACTTGGCTGTGTTTCATTGATTGAATCATTTCTTATTGTTAATTAAGTACACATGTGTGTTAGCACAGATTTTATCACCCATAACTAACGTTATATATATTCAATAATCCAGTTTTTTTTCTATTTTCTGTAGATGCAATGTCTATAGTGTAAGTGCTGCTTTTATATTCCATCTGAAGAGACTTACTTGTAACAGCAGTAGGAATAATTGTCTTTTGTAAGTTGAGTTATAACTAAAATTCAAACTTAAGTACAAAATGTTATTTATTTAAGCGGTTGTTAACTAAGCTTATAAAACATTTTGCTTTTCATTGTTGTTGAATCGGATTTCTGCTGTTGGAAATACCTATAGAATCTGTATCAGTCAGATCTATTAAATTAGATACAGGGGTTACATTTGTTATCAAATTCTGAAAGGTTAGACTGGATTATAGACAAACACATTGGCCTGATAGTGTTTTATGCTGATTTTGGTCACCGATAGATGAACAATTTGTGTGATGTGAACAAAAACCCTTGTAATTGGTATTACAGAACTGAGATTATTAAAAACCTTTAAAGGCACATGTTACGTGTATGTTTCATTTTTGAAGATAAACAATATCATATTTTTTCAAGCTCATAAATGAAGGTATGGAGTTGGTAGAGTTGATCTGAATGTTACTGTGCTAGTGTATAGAAACTTTCTTACTCAGCAGCAGATGATTAGGTATGTCTATTGTATGGTTAGAAAGTACATTGTTAATGCTGTGTTTTAGTACTTAATATCATGTTCTTTAACAGGTATTCTTTATAAAGTGGAATCAAACCCTCTTAAACAGATTAAACAGTTAATTTAGTATGTGACCCATTCTTGGGCAAAAAGTAAGAATTTTATGTCCTTGTTGTGAAATAAACTGGGATCAAAGTATTTAACTCTCAGTCTGTCAGACTTTGGTAACATTTAGCACAGGGATCTGTTTCTCTGTCAGCAGTTCAGAAGGAACTTCTTACATTGATACCTTCATCAGTTTTTCTAATTTGTTTTATTGTGTTGTTAAAAGCTTGACTATTTTACATTTCTGACACATTTTGAATTTTGATAGTTTTCAGATTTGCCTGAAAGATGTAATAGAAAGTTTTTCTGTAAGTCTCAGATTCCAGGAGTGTCTAGTTAAGTCTCAAATGAAGTACTGATTTTCTGTGGATTATAACTAGTAACTAGAAAGACTTTAGTCACGTAAAACTTCATTTACACTCAAGTATTAAACCAATCTTTTCATTTGAGTATTTTTATGGTACATGTATTGATTTCAAATTCTGAAGAAGAACGAGTGTTTGTACTGATTGTATTAAGTTGTAGGATTGTTGGGTTATATTTATATGACCATGAACCATTGATATATAAAGGTGAGACAAACATTCCAGATTTTCATCGCCCATAATCACTTAACAGTGCTCATTCAACTACCGCTGATATTCTTGCATCAGGAAGACCCTGTTTTAGTTAAGCCAACAACCTGAATGCAGGAAAATATGTAAATGTATATTCAGTTGAGGAAAGGGTCAATAAAAAAATTCAAATAACTTTCAAACATTGATGAAGATACAAGTGAATAAACACCATATGCCTAAGTTGTAAGAAGAACAGTTTAAAAAAAAAGATTTAACACTATTAGTGTTTCTGAAGTAAGATTACTGTTTTTGTTAGGTAATTGCTGAATTATGAAAACCACTAAAACAAGAGTTAGTCCTGAAATAGATATCTGTACAATAATTTACAAATAGAAAACATATGGCTAATGCACTTCATGTTATGCTTTTTTTTATAAATAAGATATTCAACAGTTCATTTTAATCATATTCTAGAAGTTGTTGTAACCTTGCATAACACTTTTTACAACATCTGTACCAAGGACTAGGCTGAGAGATGTGCACAGAGTATGATTCTCTGCGAGAATGTTATTGATGGAAGGAAAAGGATGAAGACAGCAGGTGAACAGCTGTCAGTGTTGTGAATTCTGGAAATTTGCACCATGGGGTTTGCAATAAAACTTAGCTTGTTTTTTATATGTGATATTATGTAATGTTATATATAAGTGCACTCTGGTCATTAAAGATTTAAGGTATCGGTGGTGGTCAAACTCATATATTGGATTGTATTTTATGCAATGAAATCATTATCAATAAGATCAAATCGGGAAAGGAATGTCTGTTCAACTGTTGGTTTTTAATACATGCCTTTGTAAACTGTTTCATTGCTTTTGTTTTACATTTGTACTTCAGTGCTTGTGTGAAAGTAAACTATGTTGAATTGTATGCTACAATTCGTTCCTTGTAGTGTGCAAATGTTTGGAAATAGATTCACAATTGACTATAACAAGTAAATTTTATTACCAGCTATACCTGTAAGCATAAATGTTTTTGTTAAGGTACAGGTTATAAAGTGTCAACAGTTTACTAAGAGTTGTGTGGATGGCTGTCACACATATTCAGGCTTTATTGTTATCATGTGTTGTTTGTAAATATTTGTATTTAGTATATGTACTCTTGTTCTCCGATTTTAAATTCTGACCTAGACCATATGTACAGTTCACAATATCCTCCACATCATTACTGTCTGTTCAACATTAAGTCTCTGTTTTTATGTAATTGTCTCCCTTTAGTACACCCAGTCCCTTGTTACTGTGTATTCATGTGTAGGTAGGAGCAATTCTTAAATGTAATTATTAGAGAGCTTTAACTCTTCAAAGTTTTCTCATCTTATTCTGAAGACAATTTAACCTGTCTATACAGGAACTTGTGTAGGATAGACACTTATATAAATCAGATTTTGAGTAGAGCCTCTACAGTGAAACCTGTCTTAAGCCAAAACTGTATATGGACATCTGTAAAAAATAGATCTACTATTGGCAATTTGTTTACATTTTTGAATTAAAACAGATCTAAAACCTCTCTTTTCTGCTTAAAGAAAATGATTTTTCCTGTTGCTTGGTTAGACAGATTTCACTGATGAGGGAAACTATTTATTGTGTATATGATACAAGATTCCTCTATAACAGTATTCCTTCCTGTTTATTAGTGTTTGTTTCATCACAGTTGATAGTTAATTTTTGAATATCTTGTGATTGAAAACAAAATTATTCTTCAATTCATCAGATATATTTTTCACCTTCTAGTAAATATTTTCATATTGCATTCAAGTCAGATCCAGATACAACTGCAGAAATTAAGAAAAAAGACCCAATTATTTAACCAAGGAAGTAATGGTCAGGTTCCAAATCACTTTCAGGTTGTGTAGTATGTATCTGGGTGTGAGACTTGTCATTCTATGAACTTGTTCCCCTTTTGTTATGGTTATAAGAGTATAGGCTAGTTAGCACATGAGGTCATGAGAGAATGAACCTCACAAATAAAGTGATAGGAGGTTTGAGTGAGTGAGATGTATAGATATTATAGTATTCTTCATCGTATTAACTTTATGTATGGTCAAGTTTATCTGTAAATAAACATTACAGTGTGGCATTGTGATTAAACTTGTTGTTAATAGCTAATTAGAACATTTTAAACAAGAGGCAGGATCATATGCTAATTCCATGTATTAAAATAGATTTCCTAAAAATAAGCGATGAAAGTCTTGATATTCTGTCCAAGGGAACAAAAGGACCAAATAAGTTTGCGCTTTCTAGTTTAAATATGCAATCAGAAAAAAACAGAGGTCGTGGAGAATGAAACAAATGTTAAGGTTATATGAGTTACAAATTCTGGAAGGGGCTTGTACTTCTTGACGCTGGACATAATATTTAAACATGATATTTTAAAAGTTTTATTTTTCTAAGTGTTAGTGAGCAAAGATTAAAACTTCGAGATGTGTTTCAGAAAATTTTACATAAAATGAAAAGAAATTTAATGACAGTCAAAAAAATTTAATTTTGACTGGGTTTAAAGTAAAAAATGTAAAGGACCCAGCCATGTTGCACCATTTGACAGAACTTCATTATCAATATTATGATATCACAATTGATTCTAACTGCCACAGCCAATGAAAAATGCTCAAGATATATCACACTATATGCACAAGTATCACCAGGAGAATAATTCACTTGATAACGGATAGATAATGTGATGAAAAATCCTGGAGGATAGAGAAAACCAATTTTGGCTAATGTTTTAGGCTACATCAAAGTTTAAAGAAAGAACACTCGTCTCTTTATTTATGCTTCGAATAATATAGAGAATTGTTATGTTGAAGAATTGTCGTGTTGTGTGTAGAAAAGCAAGGAGCAATTGAAAATAGCCAAGATTGTAAAAAATATTTTCACTGCCTTTAAAAGAAAAAAAGTTAGCAATCGTGAAGGATCATTTTTGTTCTCATAGGTATTTTTTTCAAATTTAAAATCTTTAAAAGTACTGAATTGTCATTGCGCACATCAAGGCTATGAGCGCTATGTATTGAAGCTAAACTTAAATACCGTACGTCACTTTAAAATGTTTTAGCGAGGACCGGGACAGTGGAAGTTGTGAGCCTTATATTTAAGGGTTTGACAATATGACATATTGCATTATTTTTCAACATAATCCCCTTCAGTATCAATGCAACTTTTAAAGAAGTTTTTTTTGACCGTCCGCTACATGTATGACGTCATAATCGTTAATGTCAGCCATGGCAATGACAGACTTGTGAACAAGGGCATTGTCCTGGCGGAACAACACACCTTTAGTTTTCCGCAGCGCTTGAGTATACTAATTTCTCTTACCTGCTTAAGAAGTGATGCATAATATGGGTCTGTCTGTCCCTTTTTGAGATAATTCACCATCAGAATACAATCAACATCTAAGAGAACCGAGGCCATAACATTTCTAGCTGAGGAAACAGTCTTTGCCTTCTTTAGCGGGGATGCTTCCATTGATAGCTCACCTGGCCCAAAGGGCCAAGTGAGCTTATTCCATAGGAGTCCCTCTTCTGTCCATCGTCCTTCATCCGTCCGTCCAACATCTGTCAACTTTTCATTTAAACAACTTCTTCTGAAATACCGAAAGGCGCAGAGTTATCATATTTGGCTGGAAGGTTCCTTTGATGAAGCCTAACAAAGTTTGAAAAAAAAAAAAAAAGACCTTGACCCATATTCAAGGTCACAGAGGTCAAATGTGTTAAAACCTTTAAACAACTTCTTCCAAAATACCAGAAGGCCTAGAATCATTATATTTGGCTTGAAGGTTCTTTGATGAAGCCCAACAAAGTTTGCAAAAAGAAATCACCTTGACTCATATTCAAGGTCACAGAGGTCATATGTGTTAAAACATTTAAACGACTTCTTCCAAAATACCGGAAGGCCTAGAATCATTATATTTGGCTTGAAGGTTCCTTTGATGAAGCCCAACAAAGTTTGCAAAAAGAAATTACCTTGACTCATATTCAAGGTCACAGAGGTCAAATATGTTAAAACCTTTAAACGACTTCTTCCAGAAGGCCTAGAGTCATTATACTAGGCTACTATGTTCCTCTTATGGTGTCCTACAAAGTTTGCTTAAAGAAATGACCTTAACCAATCTTCAAGGTCACAGGAGTCAAATGTGTTAAAACGTTTAAACAATTTCATCTGAAATATCGAAAAGCCTAGAATCATTATATTTGGCCAGTATATTCCTTTTATGAAGTCCAAGAAAATAAAAGAAATGACCTTGACCCATAGTCATGGTCACAGGGGTCAAATGGGTTAAACGTGGAACATATGCACAGATATAGTAATGTTGGTCGTAAAGATCCAGGTGAGCGATACAGGCCCTCTTGGCCCCTTATTTAGACAGTTGTTTGGCCTCTTGGGTGAAGTGATGGACTGAAGTTTCATCCATAGTCACAAACTGCTGCAGAAAGTTAGCTTCGATCTGCCTCTAAAAGGTTCAGATTAGCAGGTGAAAAAGTCCGCCTGGTGTGCTTCAGATCAACTGTCAGAAGTCGTGGTACTCGAGGAGCTGGGAGCTTTCTCATTGTTAGGTCTTCCGTAAGAAGAATGGATTATACCTTTTCCTGCGAAACCCCAACTGTGCTGGCTATATATCTCTCTGTAACTCACTTGTAAGACATTATAATATCATAGACTTTATTGACCATTTCTGGGGTTGCAACAGTTCAGGATTTCCAGGACGGGCGTCATCACCAAGGCTTTGTCTGCCAGGTTTAAATTCCGCCAACCACCTTTTCACTGTAGCATACGAATTGACAGCTTTCCGTAGTGTTGCTACAATATCAGTATGGATATTTTTAAGTGCTAGACTTTTCGAATGCAAATATTGAATCACTATTGTTTCAGCGTTTTTGTCCATTTTGCAAAATTCACCCGCACTGTCTAGCTCTTCGACATAGGCTGACCAAATGACACCAGTCTTCGGGGACACAGCCTTACAGTATAAGGGAATAGTAAAGCTTCTTCAACACAAGGCACGTAACTTATTAATCAGTCCTCGTAGAATGCATAACATGCATCAGACCGAAAATTCTTGTCTCTAAAATGACGATTTGATTTAATGTCAATATTCCTTTTTTTTTTCTTTTTTTTTTAATTTACAAATTATCTATTCCTATAGGCATAATGAATTTAAATATTGATATTATTATCATTTTAAGTAGAAATTTATAAGGGATTAGACACGAATTCCCGACCAAAGATCTATTTTTTTTATATCATAGTGACAAGGGGTGTAACTCCCGATATGGAAAAATTAACATATATATAAATGTATTTTTCAATTATTATGATTTTGTTTATTGTAGAGGCTGTAGATTTCAGTATCACCTACATTGATTTATGAGATGTTTTGTATTTCCAATGAATGCTTGATGAACGTGTTTCAACCGGAAAGGAAAATGTCTACCAAGTCATTCTGTCTATATTTCCGAATTTGCCAGGTCATGATTTGGTAAACACTTGGTCAATCTTGTTCATCAAATTTCATTGGAAATATAAAACATTTTTCTTCAGGGTTATGTATGTATTATAAAGATCTGCAGCCCTTAGAATATCAAAAAACACAATTGAAATAAAGACGTGTTAAGTTTTTCCTTTCCGAGAGTTACACGCCTTGTCATTATATATATGCACCGTGGGTCGAGAATTCATGCCAATCCCCCTGTTTTATATGATATCACCACATTCAACAAGGCTGTCTGCCAAAAGCAATAACTGGCATTTGCTCTTTGTTTATGTTTATCAGGAAGTTGTGAAACGGACTGGTCTGTCACAACTTGGTTGTGTCCTAGGACAGAGCACTTCGCCCTAATTCAGTTGTGGCTTTGGGTGAATTATGACTGGCTGCTGTTGTTCCGTGAGGTAGGCACGAGTTACTTCAATGGGGGCCCGCTTTAAAATTACCGTGGCTGTTCACGGGGCGATGAACCGAACAACCATTCTTCCATCCATCATGATATATGTAGAATGTTGAATCGATTGGTTACGCTGATGTATGAAAACAACTCATCTTTTCAAACCAGATTATTTACGTTTAAAACTATTTTTACACTGGAAAACTGTTCATTAATCTCCAGGTGTATTTTTGTATTAGACAAACTCCCACAGGTTATATACAACTAGTAAACATACGTGTTCAAATGTGATCTTCATATATTAAATATGATATGTCGCTTTATGAAATCAAGCACATTATTGTACATATATCACTCGAATTTCTTTCACACCTATGTAACAACATCTTGCTCACCTCAATTCAGTAATTAAAGATACGTCACCTTTATCTTTTAATTCATCCTCGTTTAAGGCAATTTTTTTCTAATAAAATGCGTTGACTTGTATTAGTTGAGATATACAAGTCATATTTTTCAGAAAAGAATTACAACTTTATCATAAATAAATCAATATTGTCTTTAATGACAATAATTACGTCATGCTCTTTGTAAGAATTTAGAATTCAATATTCTACAGAGTTTTAATTCAGGATTCATGATATATTTACATTTTGTCAATTTTTGATAAAAGAATCTTACAGAGAGAAATGATAACTTGAATCAGTGTTTACTAGACATTTTGATTTGTAAACGAATCTCCTGTTAGAACAACGTAATACCAACAAGTCAAACTCAAATCCGGTTAAGTAGATCAATGTATGACGAAACGAGAGATTCATAGAGACTACAAGAAACTTTAAGGAGTTCCAGAATGTTAAGCGTCTTCTGCTTTATCGACGGCACTGCCATGTTGATCTTAATCAAAGTAAATAATGTCACGTTCTCAAATAAGACGAAGGTTATTAATGACGGAGCCACCAAACATACTGACGAACATCGAACACGTTTAATTCATATCGACAACGAAATATAATATTCCCCAGAATAGAATTAATAGAATCTTGTATAAGACTTTAATGTCAGCGACAGAAACTTCCGTATTAATAAGGTATGTGTTGATAATTTCGTTTGTGGCATAAGATATGCGTTTTTTTAAAATATATAATTCATATAAGTACGCGAGTATTCCAAACGTACAGAGTAAACAGTTAAGTATATGGCACCTAGAGTATATAAAGCTGCCATGTATTTCTACTCAATATTACACAAGTCGCACAAACACATGCAGCGATTTAACAAAGCTATATACAAAGCTTTTGTATTTCATTCCGAGTTATCAAACTTAGTATGAACTGATGTAATTGATAGCTAGAGTCTTGAGTCGAATTAATAATATAAATTTGATATACACTAAACTATTTGAGAATAAATGCTGTGCGACTTCCTCAACTTTACTGCGACATAAAAAATCGTATTTATTATACAGAAGACTAGTGTCCAAACTGACTTTCTCGCTCTCTTTCAAAAACAAAATATCCAAAAATAAATATCGATAAAACAACCAGAGAGATATCAATGCATTGAAATCAATATAGCTAGTAACAGTCTCGTTTGGTAGGAAATGGCACTGTCACATTGGTTTTTGAAAATGATAAGTTGTAACTTCAAACGTAAAAGAACTACCTGTACTAGCGTCAGAATGTAATATTCATGGCAACTTAACTATAACTTACTTTTTTTCGATTTTCCACATTTTTTTTACCAAAAACTAATTGTTTGCTCTTTCTATATACGTTAAAGTTTTCTCATTATACTCAAACTCAATACAACCACAGGGGAATCGATAAAAACATCACGTGACAGAAAATTCTTGAAGAAATGTTGCTAGAGTGATTTAAAAGTTTTCCGGGATCTCCCCATTCTGGGTTCTGGGCACCTGTTCACGTGAGGTAGGAAAACCATTTTTTCGTCATACACCTCACATATAAGAAACCAAACCGATACTGACAGCTGTGCTGCAAGAGATTATTGTAAATGTTTTCAGAAAGTTCTTTTTGTATGCAGTAGCCATAGGCGATGACAAGTTTAGTTTGTTGATATCGAAATCGCCCTGATTAACATCAGTAACCTGGACAAAGCTGCCTTTTGAGATTTTCCTCCTTTTCCTTGCATGTCACACATCGTCTCCTGGAATCTAAAATTTTGTATCTGAAATAAACCACAATTCAAATATGTTAGTAATGTTGACAATTTCATTGCATCTGCATATCTATATTTTTTAAAGAAACTTAAACGGCATAGCAAAATACGCCTGGTGTTATCTTGATATATGGAAATTGCATGATAAAAGTATGGTCTACAAATTTAACATTATGTTTAAGATTTAGATAATTAAATTTGATTTAAGATTGTGATTTGTAGTTTCATTACTGCAAATATTTTCATCTTTTCTTTCGAAACACAACATCAACTTTTTAAAAAATACAGTAATTACATCATTTCATTACAGTAAATAAATTTGTCCTTTTTCAATTCATATAATTATTTAATTTTTGATTTTCTTATTTTTGGGGGAATATTATAATACAATACTTATACTCTTTTGTGGATCTATCTTATTGATATGATGTTATTGTAACAACACGCCAAACAATTATTTTCGTTAGTATCTTCCAATTTTCAAAATTTTGAAATATTCTTGCATGCTGTAATAAACGTGTTGACAAATATAATTAAATGTAAACAAAACTACTCTTCAAAATATAAATAGAAGAAACGGATTAGCATTTAGTATTTACGAAGATACAACAAGTTAATGATAATTAAGACTTCTAACCAGAAAGTATTAGTATTTAATCATACTAATCACAATTACCTGAAAAGGAACCGAGCGCAAACGCGTGTTAATAAAACAACACATAATTGAAATACATTTACAGCCACCAAACGTACATTAATGTAATGAAAAGAAACAAGAAAGTTCAGACCTTGCTATTTCAAACCGTTTCTAATAACAGGTGCACCTTTTAGTGGGATAAACGAAAAAAGAAACTCAGGAAAAGGGTGATTATGGGGAAATCGTTATTACAACCTAACGTCATAATGAACTTGGCTACACTGAGAAAAATGACTTTTTAGCAAAGTTAAGGTATTTCATCACAAACATTGAAACAATTTTCACTTCATGTTAGGGAAACGTTTTCGTATCAAAGACAACTCAGATTAAAATCAATAAACCTTTATTTCGTCATATTAATCTAAGAAAATATGCGTTTATCATTATTTTTATAATGCTTTGTAATAACAAGGTTTTGACTATTAATACATCACAAAGACTTTCTTTTCCACAATACATATATATGTGTACCTAATGTCATGAAACAGCAAACATCTGCTTACGCCTCATATTAAACATATAATTTCACTTTGCAAGAATTACAAAGCTGATACTAAATTGATGACAGCAACAAATGTTTGCTTTTTCAAAGTCATTTTGCTCTTTGCAGAGGTCGTTTTCTGTGCTCTTGAACGTATCATTGTATATACTTTATATATATATTATCATTAGTTAGAAGAGACAAATCCATAGTTTTGCGAAATTATTAAATAAAAAGACATCATTTTGCGAAGAAGAACATGGAATGTGATAGAAAATGAAGAAAAGATCTGACCGAATATGACCATTACAATTATTTTCCCATCTTCTGACCTGACCCATAAAGATATACTGTAAAACCATCAATTTTAGTGGGGTTTGTATTTGTTCATTTCGTGGGTCCGCGAAATTATTGACCGTTAAATTCTACATAGATTTCTAATACAAGTGAATTAAAATTTGTTCCCCATGAAAAGTATAAAATTTTACAGTAGCATTTTCAGGGCCGTGCGTACAGTGCAGGGGATAGGTCGTGTCGTGCGTTACAACTGACCAACACGTATATTTGGCGAGCTTGTAACTGCGTATTCATTTATCTCTTAATAAAAAATGAAATGAAGGACACATTAACCAAAATATACACATTCATCACATGTGTTTGTATGTGTGTCATGTTTCTATCATTGGGCCAAATCTTTGAGAACAATTCATGCAAAACATAAACGTTAAATAAGTTTTGGCGAAACGTAGACGATTTGCTGTTCATTTGATCACTTAACCGCGTCATAACTCCCAAATACCGTGTTTCGTGCTTTGTATCACAGTCCTTACTATCAAATCCTTTAAACTGAAATCAATGATTTTCATAAAAATTGAAACTAATTTTCAGTGCATGTCGATTTAAGAAATCGATTACAAGATACACTTATTGTAATATCTACCACTATATTGATCTACATTATAAACAAATATTTTCTCTACATGATAAACAAAGACTTTCTCATTCACCAAAAAATAAACATTGTTACTGTATTAATATGTATTAGTGTAAACTATAAAACAATCATATATAAGAATGGTTGCATTGTTTAGATGAAATTTCAACGATTTGCCATTTACACATCAATTCATGACTACGCTGCATCATGATTAGCATTCTTAATGCCATGTCGCAGACTAGTCGTCCGTGCAGCTTCTTATATGCATAAAGATAGGCGAGACTTGCAGAAAACTATCATGCAGCGGCAAAATAATTCTCTCCAAATTCTTCATCACTATAACAACAAAAGCAACCATCTTATGGGTGAGTGCAAACAGTGCCCAGAACCAGAGGTTATTTTGTTATGTGACGTTTATACAACCTATATCCAAGCAGTGACGTCATTCCTGTAATTCCAATCCTCCAGGCGGATTTAAGCGGACTGCATTAAATAAAACAATCCAAACGAAACTCTAACATTAGATATGAGAGAAATAACAGAACAGATATCTTATACAAGTGATTTTTGTTAAAGTTAAACCTTAATTAATTTTCATAACAATAAAGCATAAAGCTCGCTCTCCTTTAGCATTACATCTGTAACATACATGAAATATATTGAGAAGTTAACTCATACCCGTGGGGTCCCCGAAGGGGAAGATTACTAAAGGTAAAGCAAGTCATGATTAAGCGATAATCTTTAATATGTTATAGACATTTAGTATAATAGTACAGGCTGTAGTCAATAGTATATACAAAATGTACCTGTATTCATTGCTTTGAAAACTTTATAAAGATACCATCGGCTCATCTGAACGGATTGATGCAATTAAACCTTTCCCCATTGTCTCTCATATTTTCTTCCTTATCTCTATCTCATACTCTTAAATATATCACTGTCGCATGTTATGACAAGCTCATTCTTCGCCATTATGTGAAACACCTGCCTCCTCCCCAACACAATCCCTTCTGTTTCCTTACCGACTGTGATAACTGTATTACAAGTATAACATTACATGATGTATCTTAATATAATACATCATGCAATTATACACATGTACAATCTACATCTATATATAGCAATGTAATGGAGAGGACTGAAAACCTGTACCCACCAATCCTTTTGCAACATACAGCAATCATTAAACCAATCTTAACAAATACCACAATATATGTTCTACATCAAAATTATTTGCAATCTCGCGTCAAATCAGTTCTGAAAATCGAGAATAGCAAATTTCATGGAATACTTGACATGAAAAAACTCACATGAAACTTTACACATAAAAATGTATTTTGTATATATATGTTCTCTGATGTAGTTGTTACACACAACACATTCAAGAAAGCATCACTGATGATAGAGAAGACGTGCTTTGATCGTCCTGCTGAGGATAAAGAATATTCTATTCCAATCAGTTGGCGATTCATTGTGTTACCAAGCGGAGCCTTTATTAAAAAACAGTATCTAATGATTTTTTCATTTAGCTAAACAATTAGAAAAAAAAACCTGTTTGCTATATCGTCTTAAGATAAACACAAGCAACTTTTTCTAGATTGTAGGAAATATAACAACCCTGCCTTACAAAACTTTGATGGTGTCACAAACAGACATCGAAATAAGTAAAGAAATGTTTCGTTAAATATCCCATTGATGTAGAAGACTTTGTCCAACACGTTACCTCTGTCTTCGCCGTCCGAGTAAACAGCCTCTCGACTCTTTCGTATATTGTTCTGCAATTCCGTGTCATGTTCGTTAAGGTCATCCGGCCAATGAAATCCCACGAATAGTTGATATGTGAAGGCTCCCACTACTGCACCTACGTGTGGACCAATGACAGGCACCCAGAAGTACGTGTAAGATCTGTGACTAGATACAAAAATAGGCTTCATGGTAACATAAGTCCAAATCATATTGACCTTATGAGTGGTGCTGACATAGTCTTTTCCTGCGTATATATTTTGTGAAACACGTGTTAAAACACATTAATTTTTGTCAGTTTATTCGTCAGCCTTCAACAATTTTGAAATCGGATTGAATGGCTGGGTAACTAAAAGTTGTATAATCTTTACATACAAATCGTTATCTTATAAATATTAAAACGCAGACGAAGAACGCGTGTTCCATTAATTATACATAGTGTTTTAATATATCTCGGTTCAAAGAAAAAGCAATAAACAATAACACTTTTGGTACCGAACTCATGGATTATTGATTTTTTAAAGACAAATCGGTAAAACATCCTCAAAACTAGTCATACCTAAATGGATCTGCTCCCCAACCAGCTATAGCAGTAAATATCCTTGGTGCCAGATCTCGCGCGGGGTTGATTGCGTAGCCACAGTTAAGTCCATATGTCATACCTATAACAAACACCACCAGACCTATACTGATCGGGACGAGACCTTTATGTGGGGTCATATTTCTGTCGTCAGTAATGGCCAGTACGCAAATCAGCAGGATGGCTGTTCCGAAAACCTGTTGAACAGAGACAAACACGGAGGACAAAATGAAAAATGAACAATACAACTTATGATATTAAAATACGCATATTGAAAACCTAAACAGACCAATGTTTTTTGTTGCAGAATGTAGGTAAGGAACTTAACTGACAGATTGCTGGGAAAAACCAATGACAAGAAAGTGCATTGATGAAGAAAGAGAACAAACTTGAGTGGAACACAAGACTACTGTCAATGTGGATGTCAACGAGTCCTGCCATGTTCTACTAGAATACATCGCATCTTCGAGATCACAGGTTGCACACATTGCTTGTTGGTTTTTTCTTTTTGTTTTCTTCTTCTTCTTAAGGTTTACTCCACTAACCTGCACGCCATGTCTTAACTTACTCGACCAGAAACACGTCTCAGAATTCGTTTTGAATCATTAGTTGTAGAAAAAATGATGGGGCTAGTTAAACTCCTTTCGACCACCTTAGGATTTTCATCAATAGCCTCCCTGGTTCAACATTTTAGGCCCTTATTGAGGAGTCCGAGGAGGACGAAACAGTTGTATGATGTCACTAATGTATATAATTCTAAATTTGTTCCTTTATTGAAGAGGCAAAGTAAATTAACTATAAGATTGCAACAAGAGGCCTAGCGGACTTGACGGTCACCTGGGATAAGCAATATTGAATATAAAAGTTAATGGATAGTTATCAAGTGTTATGAAACAGTAATTGTAACAATTATCAATGCATGCATACCATCAAAACAATACTGATAATTCTAATAAAGTTATTTCCAGTGGAATATAACCAACGTTAAACTCAAAAATTCAATTTGGCATCAGCTCATCAGCTCATCAGCCAGTGGGGGTCAGTCTGGGTGAACATGGGCATACCATCAAGCCGTCATCCTTCACTCATAATTCTAAACAAGTTTGAAATATTTCCAATGGAAATTAAAAAATGAGGATGGTTTTAATCATTATGTCAACTTTGTCAACAAGAATGAATAGCGGCAAATACCTAACTTCTGGCTAGTGCTGTTAGACGATCTCTTCGTATGTGTCCACTTTTGGTAGGAAAAGTTTCTGTAAATGGGAATCTATGCAAATGGTTCCTAATTAAGGAAGTATATAAACATAATAGAAGTGATGGATATTCAATCAAATGATCCTGTCAGCTCAGTTTGGAATCTGCTGTTTCAACTTTGTATTGCTTTGAGATACCCTTTCAGTAAGAGAACATTTAAAGACGTTGAACGATTTTGTTTCTATCAGACGTATACTCGAATGCTACTTTCCCCTCTAAACCTCCCTTTATATTGAGATTCATCTTTGAGCAAACTGCAAAGAAAGGAAATTGTTGTAGATCGTCCGCAATCACATAAACTCTAACGTTATTCATGAGACACAGAAAGAAACAGAATGAGTCTTTGTAATTCAATGAACCGCAATGGACAAAACGATGTATCATGGTGTCACTAAATCGTCAGATACAGGCTTTCAAAGCTTCACCCCTAGCACAAAATGAATACCAGAAAATATTGCCTGTCACAGATGACATCTAGAATCACTGACAATCAAGGGGAATAAGTGAGTGCACTTCGTCCATTTGCTGTTTGACGCCGTGAAACGTGTGCATAGCAACCAGTCCATGATGTATTTATCTATAAAGTTCAACACACCTCACGCTAAGACATCTCAGCATGTTAGGTGTTTATATTGTAACAGCTGCGTTTGATAATTTATTTTATCAACAGGATGGCTGACATCAAATCAATACTAATGAAAATATACTTGGGGATCTACACCCTCTAACACACATGTTATTAAAAAAACACATTCAAGGTTACGCACAGTTATATCAATAATAAGATAAAAAATGTTTGATTCTTAAGTTGACATGTAAACTTTAGCTGTGAGTACTTGTCCTAATCTTAATTTGTTTCCATTATAAAATGTGCAGTTTATGATCAGGTACAGGAAATAATTCTAAAAAAAAAAAAAAAAAAAAACTAATTCTGCTTCAGAACATAACATGCTTTTGATTCGATAAGAAATGAAAAAAAAAAGATCTTTTTGACTACAGAGTGGATATACGTTCGTTTACCCTCTGAATTCAGCCTCTGTCAAATCAAGGTTGGTTAGAAAAGTATTTGTTCAACATTTGATAAAATTCTAAGAAATGATAGAAACCTGCCAATCCCTTGCAAAAATACTGACGATAGGATATTTCCAAATTATTAAAATAAGGTTAACTTAAAACAAATAACTTTTCTCTCGTTGAATGAAGCTAAATCATACCGCTGTTTCGTCCTTTTAGGATTCGTTTGCAACGTCAGAGGCCTTGAGTGTTAAAACCTTCAATACGACTGGGCAAAATCAACATTGGTTTGAATACCTGTCGAAATCTAGAGTATTAGATTATCTTCAGATAATGAACAAAATAGAAAATATAGGGGTTTGCGTGCATTAATATGTTTGAAAAAAAACATGTGAATATTTGTCCCATTAAACAAATTAAAATCGCTAGTTTTAGTATAAATTTCAAAGTGGTTCTCAAATATAGGTTTAAGGATTGCCTGTAGAAAAGTCCAGCAAATGTGTCTTCAATGGACAGAACACTGATTTAGAGAATATAAATTAAACCTGCAAATACATTTTATATGAATATTTGTTCATCTCTACACTGTCCTAGACAACGCTTGTGTACATAAAGATATCACCAAGTGCTGTAGGTTTTGTTTTTGTTTTACGCATTATCTTAACCCATTTTACAACCTTCCTTCATTGATATGTTACAAATGCATACTATCATAAAAAAATCGAGCGGTGCAGATTTTAGCGCTGTCGTCTGTTACAAAGACAACCGAACGTGAAAAGGTTTCTTTTTTTTTTTAATCTGCCTAAATACCAAGTACGTTTTTGTACTTGTACACTACGAAAATGACTTTATGTTTAAAATAAAAAAAAAAATGTTGAATCCAACAGTTTTCTGAAACACGTGCTTCTGGTGAATAAGGGAACAGTAAGGATCAAGAGGTGACAAAAATGTTAGATTGATGTTTGGGACAACAGTAAGTATCAGAAAACAGATTGAAAAGTCCGCCAAGTATGCCTGTATAATCTAATGTTCTGTTCTGTATATTTACCTGATCGCCAAGACAGTTGACAACTGATACATATGAGGTAGGGTAGGTAGCCCATATCCCCGCAGTTCCGTTCACACCCACCAACGCTCGAACACCACCATCATAATTGTTGATGGCATCTGTAAGACACGCCAACAGCTTAAACTTTGGCCTGATTTGCTTTTATACATGTGTGTAGTTCCTTACATTATGTCACCTTAATTCCTCAAAAAATAATTCATACTATTTATCACTTAATACGATTTCCAGGTGATACATTACATTAATAAGCAGGTATCTGTGACCTAATTAGAAATAAGAGTATAAACTGTATATCTATTATGGAAAACACAATAACAATAAGTTCATCATAAATAGCGACTTCCCTCGGCTAAGAAGCTTATTATAGGTAAACCAAAGCTCAAACATGCATTATATAGACATACAGTTTTGTATTTCATGAAATGATCGCTGTGTAGAAACTTTCGTTGCTTTTGGTTGTAGACATTTCATGAAAATAAGATACAGCAAATAAAACTACAGATAAAAGAATCATTTGAATAGTTATTCAGTATCCGCGAAAACTTGCTCCTTGAAAAATGTCTTACGTTTATACCACGTGCAAAAGTACCCAAGAATATTGCATGTTAAACTGTTAATTACCAAACCCAAACTTATGAATGATGAAGTTGTTGCTAAGAAACCAAAGCTGAAATAATTACCAGCAAGCTTACGCATTCAACTAAAAGCTACATTCTCGAGTTTTTAGCTGACGGTTTAAAGTTAAAGATATCACTCTTATTCATGCAAGTATTTCCATAGTTGAAACAATATATTGATACAATGGTTCGCTGGGATGTTATTATAGAAAGTTTTTTCTGAATGACCCTGGTTGGAATATAAATCGGAAACTCAGATTAGAGGTATGGCTTGTAGAGCTTAGGCAGGTGTTGTTTCATGACTCTAAGTACTAACCGAAATAGACTATAAATACCAGGACTGATGCTACAAAACTTCCACAGTACTGCGCTACAGCATAAAGTGGTACTTTCTTCCATGGAAACCTGCCCAGACATGCTTGTGCTACACTCACAGCTGGGTTTAAATGTCCACCTTAAACAAATGCAGAGTTAATTGTAAACTGCTATGCAAAGGAAAATCATACTTAGATTATATCTCTATTAAACTCAGGAAACAGAAGTGGATACATCATATTGCCTTAAAACTTAAAACTTAACACTGGTTACGTTACGATCTCAATATGGCGTTAATGGAGATTTAATGTTTGTCTAATAGCAGTTTTGGAATGTCCCTCTGTTAATTTGGTGCATTGGATCCTCAGTGTAGGCGTTTTGGAACGATTCTTGTGTAGTTATTTGTTCTTCACTGTCACATTGGTGTGATTTTTCCATACCGCGTATTATTGAATTGTTTGTACAAATTTAAACGAATTATTTGATCGATGTACATCAAAATTTGAAGCAGTTTAACTTTATTTACAATTTTCAGTCACGTAAATAATGTGTACTGTTATACCTGATACTCCTCCAGCCACGTACACGCCCATCATCACCCCGACTCCCCACGACCAGTGGATGGACATATGATTTCCAACAGACTGCTTACTAAGCACTGCTTGGGCCACCGACCCATCGCCAAAAATCTGAAATATAAGTTAAAGTTGGTCACATTGGTGACAGCGTGACATTTGATAAGTACTATTTATACTGGAGAGAAACGACTCTGGAGAAATAAATATTGTCAAGACTTTAACATCAAGAAGAGACGATCTGATCAAAAAATCTAAATTACTAACTAACGAATTAACATCTAAGTTATCATAAAGTGTTCCCATTCAGACGGCTCCCTTGTACATTAAACAAAGAATTGATTTGTTATACGGAAAAAAGAAATCTAGTGTAGTAGTAATTAACGAATTATTGATAATCGTAGCCCAGTAACCATTAATTCCGTAATTTTCGTGTTTCTTTTTATTTATCTGTTAATCCTTAGTAGTAGTGGTTTGTATGAGATCTGTTTATCGACATGGATTTCACGCCTTGATGATCAACGATTTTATTATTTATCATCTAATGGAGTGTTATAAACTTCTGCTGAATTGTTTAAACCTAGCAAAATCTAGACTGACCGAAAAATAGCAGTTAAAAACATTCTGACTTTAGTTGTTACTTGGCAGAAGTATTTTGTGTACGACACTAGGTGTCATCTTCTTCTGTGTTGATGCACACGGGTTGTCTTTTGTACGTTTTAGATTAATGAAAAGTTTAGACGCTGTGGATTTTGTTTAAAGAAGTCTCGAGATTTTCTGAATTTATTGTCCGGTCTATATCCATTAAGTAATAAATCATCACCTTTATCAAGCCATATTTATTTGGTCAAGATCTCGGTCAATCCTCGAGAGAGTTTAACAGTTTCGATACTAAAATTACTTTCGTCATAAATTTATCTTTTTATTTTTCTTTTCAGCTAAAAACAAACCATTTCAATATGATTAAATTGAATATTCTATAAACAGAATTATATCTTGATAACATGAATCACCAATCCACATTTTCATTAATTTCTTTAATAATCGTTTTATTAAAACTATTTTCAGATTCGTTGAACTTTGTTACAGGAAATATACATGTATGTTGTTTATTCACTGTAATAGATATATACATCTAAGCATAGTGATTTCCTCACCAGACATTTTTATTTTCACTGAGACAAATTTGAGATATTTCAGCTGAGACGATTTGTATCAATTTCAAATATATTACTTATCGTATGAATATTATAATTCATAAAGCTTCATGTTGTATACCTGGTTCTCATTTTGTGAACGTGACATTACTTACTTGGAATCACCAAGGTTTACATGACGGGAGTAAATCTTTCTTTTGTTCATATTTTGCCCTAGTTTGATGGAATTTTGGGTTTGGATTATGATTATGTTGACATGTTAGTGTTTTCTGGTGTGTTTTGTACTTCAGTTCAGTGTTCATTTACCATCCAAACTAAAAACATTTATTCGCGATATTAAGTTAGCTAAATAGTTAATGTAAACATTGAGAACTATACAACAATTGTTATCAATTTGTCATCAACATTTGGTATACCGCTTTAACCACTACGTCAATATACACAGAACTGAAACCAATTATCAGTAGTAAACCAGAGCAGGAAAAGTGAAGATATTATGAACTATATAATTAACAGGACGAAGACCGGTTTGTTTTGATACATACACGAGATTGGATAATCTAACATGTTATCTAGTTGTTAAACAATTTTGGTTAGATTTATATTTATATATGTAAACGCTGTATACCGTAAGACACATTTAAATACAACAACATGCACTTTAATATTAGGTATGCAAATATGACGTTTCTAACAGTCAAAAAACGTTTTGAATCAATGCATACAATATTGTTTGTTTGGACACTGTATAATGCCTAATGCTATGTCAAAACAAAACTAATCTATGAATTTATAATGTAATGAATTTTAATTCTTATTCATCGTGACGTATAATTACGTTTGTATTGCAGTAATGGGTTCATTTAAGTCGTTACCATGAACAAAAAATGTAAATTAAAAAAAACTGCTGTGCAACAGGAACCTTATCACCAACTTTAATATGCATATTATGTGTCATTTTGCTTTAAGAACTCTCTGAATATTCCGTCGTAACTGTCCAATCCTCAACATGTGTGTATTTGACCTGATATCAAACATACATACAACTCAGCACTTATATTTAAAATAACACATGGGAAACATTCAGTCGGAGTCGCGTGAATCTTCTGAAGTAATAGCAAGCCCATATAATCTAGACTACAATCTATCATGTTGAAAAAAAAGAAAATGTGGATTGTTTCGGTTTTGTGAAACATAGTTAGTCTGAAATATGTGGAGCCGTAATACAGCATAAGTGTGTAATTATAACAGAGCGGTTAAATCAAGGTCAATTCATGAAAGGCTACACCGGGACAAATTGAAAGAAAACTTTAAAAACTCCATCTAATGGGTTTAAAGTGAACCATATCCTCACCTGAACCCTTTGTGAGTACATGTGGAGAAAATGAGAAAGGCAATGTTTCAACCATGAACAATAAGAAAGAATAACACACACTCACACATATATATATACACGATATAAATTATCAATTACATCTTTATGAATTGAAACAAAACAGGATCATTTATCAATGAACGTTAATTTATATACTGTGGTGTGGACATAGTATACTAACCAAGCTTAACATAAGTGACCTACATTGTCTGTATGTTCATTAATTACAGCATAAACATCTGACAGCATTTTAACATACATGCTTTACAAACAGACGTTACGTAGGCCGCAGCAAAGTCAAACTTCTACGTTTACGACATATAATCCTTACAACTTTGACCAAAATACATATGAACATGCTAATGTAAACCAATCTAATATCAATTTACATTTGCGAATATGCATGACTTTTAATTCAGATATAATTTAAAACCTGTCTTCGAAAAAGTGCATACATGTGATTTTTTAAGGGACAGTTTTGTATGGTGTTCTCTCTCTGCGGAGGACTGAAATGTCATTCACAGTTACCAGAAGAAAGGACCGAGAAAGCGTATTTAAGTACAATAGTTTAAAAGGAAACTTATCTACAGGCCCCAAACAATTTAAAAGGCGGTATAGATCCCAGAGGTTAGATGTGAAAATAAGTATTCAGGATAAAAGTAGTTTTTTAAAACCATTCCTGACATATCTAGTGCAATATGTGCCACTCGCAATGTCTTTTAAAGTTCTAACAATTCGGTCTCGTACGAAATGTACCACCTAACAGATCTAGTATTGCATGTATCAGTCATCATATCTCTGAAGACTTGTTTTACAAATCAGGTGTCTCTTATATGTACTATCCGTCATGTCTAGTTTTCCTTGAGTCATTCGTCATGTCTCTGAAGACTTGTTCCATCCATCACGTGTCTCCTACATGTAACATCCGTCTGGTCTAATATTGTTTGTTTCGCTCGTCATGTCTCTGAAGATTTGTTCTACTAATCAGATGTCTTGTACATGTACCATTCATCTGGTTTAGTATTGCTTGTGTCACTCGTCATGTCTCTGACGATTTCTCCACCAATCAGGTGTCTTATACATGTACTATCTGTCTTGACTAATAGTGCTTGTGTCACTCGTCATGTCTCTGACGATTTCTCCACCAATCAGGTGTCTGATACATGTACTATCTGTCTTGTCTTGTATTGCTTGTGTCTCTCGTCATGTCTCTGACGATTTGTTCTACCAATCAGATGTCTGATACATGTACTGTCTGTCTGGTCTAATAGTGCTTGTGTCTCTCGTCATGTCTCTGAAGACTTGTTCCACCCATCAGGTGTTTCGTACATGTACTATCTGTCTTGTCTAATAGTGCCTGTGTCTCTCGTCATGTCTCTAACGATTTGTTCTACCAATCAGATGTCTGATACATGTACTATCTGTCATGTCTAATAGTGCTTGTGTCTCTCGTCATGTCTCTGAAGACTTGTTCCACCCATCAGGTGTTCCGTACATGTACTATCTGTCTTGTCTAATAGTGCTTGTGTCTCTCGTCATGTCTCTGACGATTTGTTCTACCAATCAGATGTCTGATACATGTACTGTCTGTCTGGTCTAATAGTGCTTGTGTCTCTCGTCATGTCTCTGAAGACTTGTTCCACCCATCAGGTGTTTCGTACATGTACTATCTGTCTTGTCTAATAGTGCTTGTGTCTCTCGTCATGTCTCTGACGATTTGTTCTACCAATCAGATGTCTGATACATGTACTATCTGTCATGTCTAATAGTGCTTGTGTCTCTCGTCATGTCTCTGACGATTTGTTCTACCAATCAGATGTCTGATACATGTACTATCTGTCATGTCTAATAGTGCTTGTGTCTCTCGTCATGTCTCTGACGATTTGTTCTACCAATCAGATGTCTGATACATGTACTATCTGTCATGTCTAATAGTGCTTGTGTCTCTCGTCATGTCTCTGAAGACTTGTTCCACCCATCAGGTGTTTCGTACATGCACTATCTGTCTTGTCTAATAGTGCTTGTGTCTCTCGTCATGTCTCTGAAGACTTGTTCCACCAATTAGGTGGCTCGTGCGACCGTTCCATTTCAGTATCCCTGTTTTCTTTTTCCGTATTATTTTACAATCATCCTTGTTAAATGTTATCAAAGTATCACATCATTACGTCCGCTCTACACCTGTAATACGTAAATAATTCAATTATACGCAATTGTTTATATATAATACAAGTAAGTCAATCATGTTAACACGAACACTTCGCTATAACTTATCTATATGAAACGCTTTGTTATTTCGGTTTTGTAGTCCGATTAATTAATTTATATAATATGACAGTGTAAGGTTGAGTGGACAAGTACTTGGTTTTAATGTCGAGGAAATAAAACTTGATTTAGATACATTATATTTTATTTGTTTTTGTTTAAAAAGATTTCGAATTAGTTTCAGATAGTCTAAAAACTTACAAGGTACCTAACAATCACAGCCATCTGACTTTATTTCATTGTAAGACCTACATAATGCTTCGCTCAGTGGTGTAACCTTGTTTCCCTACTCAGAGTGTTGTGTTTCGCACATTTCAATGAACATCAATAGCCTGGATGACCAAACATTTAAACCGTTGTATTTGTCGATCGTAGAGTTCACACAAATAACAATACACGCTATGGGTCTGAATACCGCGTGTGCTACTTTGAATAATCTGTAACGTGTCTCCGTGTGGTTTATGTAGCAATATAGAAATCAAATGTCATAGCATACATAGGAGTTAGGGTTAGTGTAAAGAATACTCGGTTACATTTGATAATATGCTAACTACTATGGCATGGTAAATATACAGATACAGGCTCTAAAAACAAACGTTTAAATTATGTTGGAAATTATTCATCAACCCCGAATCACAACTGTAAACATACCTAAATCCAATATAAAAGTGTATTTCAAGATCTGAAATGTTGGCAAAAATGTAAGTTGCCATGTCGGTGCATTGTACACATCCTCGTGGCATACACATCTGTTGTAAATGGTTTAAATATACCAGATTTAATTAACCTGTGTAGACCATACATTACTGAAATAGTATATTAGTAGATAAGGCTGAACTAGTAGTTTGTATATGTGCAAATACATAACACACATGGGCAAGTCAATGGTCGAGTACAGTTATATCCTCTCTGATTGGTATACCAGACAAGTGTGTTGAAACATCAGCAGCTATAAACCTTCACACAGAAAACACATGCGTATATACACTAACACTTACCATTAAAATGAAAGTACCGAGAAACTCTGCCAGGAATTCTCGCACCAAGTCATTTTTTATTTTCAGCTTCCTTCTCATCCGTTCTGTCATTCTGCCTACTTTCCTTAAGCTATCTTCTCTCTATCCAAGACATGCACACATATCTGCACTATGTGAAAATGAGCCTTTGTTATGAATTGCTGATGAGGTATAGAACGACACTGCCTTGCGGTCGTAGTACGTGTGTGCTCAACGACAAATAGCGGCAGTGTGTTGTTTATAGACTGGGTCAGCACAGTGGAGTCTATATATATATCAGTGCCACGATTACCTGAACAAATAAGAAGATTTCACCTTATGTACTGTTTGCTCTTGTTAGTTATATACTTTAATACACTGATCGAAGTAGGCGGTAGTAAATTTACGAATCGTATGTCGAGCGGATGGTGAACCAGCATTTTTAGCTATTTCCTTAATAATAAACAACACTGATTGGCACAATAGGGTACAAATAGGTATCAATGTTTTAAATTCAGTTAATACCATCTTGATGGGACAGGGATCATTCTGTATACCATTAACATATATTGAAACTACATTTTTGTAAAAATCGCAGAGAGAAGAGCACATATGCATTCAACTTTCCTTTAGCGTATCCAAAGCAAATATGGTCTTCTTGTCTGAAATGAATTTCGGAAGCGGACCTGATATCAACATAGCTGAAATTCATGGTTTCTTCCTAACAGAAATGGGAAAATATACAAATTAACTGTATTTATAAGGGAATATTGTACAATTGTACAACAGACACACAAGGGAATAGCACCTTTTAATACAAACTTAGATATAACAGTGCCAAACAATAAATTAAACTGCATCATACAATTGTTCATTGTTGGTCGTCCTTCTAGGACTCATTAGTGATGCTAAGGACCTCACTTTTGAAGCCTAGGAGGCGACTGAGGAAAATCCCATGTGGTCGAAAAAAGAAAGTCATAGTCTAAATGGGGAGGTGCACTAGCCACATAATCGAATAAATTTCTTAATTTTAATACATACAGATAACTATTGAATAACGTCAAGTACATGTGTATATTCTGAACCATTAAAGAAATGAAACGTGCCGTGCAGGTTCAGGCAAACCTCGAAGACTTAAAGGCCACCAGCAGTGTCTAACACCAGTTTCAAAAGATTGCAGAAAGACATAAGTGACATTTTCATACAAATGTCAAGTTAGATACAGTAGCGCCGAACAATGAATTAAACTGCATCATACAGCTGTTTCGTTCTGTCAGTTTTCCTGATTCAAAGAAAAGCCGAAATCTAGACCGTGAGGTGCTGTATAGTTACTCGTTCTAATGGCTTGTTTTGCAATATTTCCAAGAATATGAATGTTCTTCTATGGCATAAATACATGAAAACAAACCAGCGTTAAAATCGTTTAATAAATGGCTCAATTCTATATTGTGTATACGAATTCGTGCGCTTTCTGAATTGCGCAGTGATCATGATCCTCAAACCAATTTCCGATTAATATCAAATGATATCAATGGTGGGTATTGAATCGTCTTTTAAACAATAGTATGGCAAGGTAGCTATTGTTGGAGAATGGTAACGAGATATACATCAATGATATTGTTCTAGACACAGCATCATTGTCCTAATCTATATGTTGTATTCCACATTATGATCTGGATTGTATTCTGTATTCCACATTATATCGTCTTTACAGTAATCTGTATTCCACTTTATGTGTTGTGTTCCGTACTCCACAATATGATCAGGATAGATGCATATTCCACAACATACCGTCTTTTAAGTATCCAGTATTCCACACTATGCTCTGGATTGTATTCTGTATTCCACTTTATGTGTTGTGTTCCGTACTCCACAATATGATCAGGATAGATGCATATTCCACAACATACCGTCTTTTAAGTATCCAGTATTCCACACTATGCTCTGGATTGTATCCAGTATTCCACACTATGCTCTGGATTGTATTCTGTATTCCACTTTATGTGTTGTGTTCCGTACTCCACAATATGATCAGGATAGATGCATATTCCACAACATACCGTCTTTTCAGTATCCAGTATTCCACACTATGCTCTGGATTGTATTCTGTATTCCACTTTATGTGTTGTGTTCCGTACTCCACAATATGATCAGGATAGATGCATATTCCACAACATACCGTCTTTTAAGTATCCAGTATTCCACACTATGCTCTGGATTGTATCCAGTATTCCACACTATGCTCTGGATTGTATTCTGTATTCCACACTATGCTCTGGATTGTATCCAGTATTCCACACTATGCTCTGGATTGTATTCTGTATTCCACACTATGCTCTGGATTGTATTCTGTATTCCACACTATGCTCTGGATTGTATCCAGTATTCCACACTATGCTCTGGATTGTAACCAGTATTCCACACTATGCTCTGGATTGTATTCTGTATTCCACAACATACCGTCTTTTAAGTATCCAGTATTCCACACTATGCTCTGGATTGTATTCTGTATTCCACACTATGCTCTGGATTGTATTCTGTATTCCACACTATGCTCTGGATTGTATCCAGTATTCCACACTATGCTCTGGATTGTATTCTGTATTCCACACTATGCTCTGGATTGTATTCTGTATTCCACACTATGCTCTGGATTGTATTCTGTATTCCACAACATACCGTCTTTTAAGTATCCAGTATTCCACACTATGCTCTGGATTGTATTCTATGGCATTGTCTTAATGCTTATTGTTTTATTTCACTATAATTTCCGCGTAGTATTCAGTATTCCATTGTTTTTGTATTCTATATTTTCTTTGTTCTATTCTATATTCCACACGATGATCTTGGTTGCATACTCTATTCTACAATATGATATACATTATATTCTATAACAGATTGTCTTTGTCGCTTTCTGTTTCCCTATATCTACTGCGTTGTAGTCTGTATTCACTGTCTGCTGTATTATTTACTCTGTTTCTTGTATTCTGAGTTCAATAAATCACATGCATTGAATCCTGTATTTTATTGTCTGTTCTCTGTCCTATATATCGTAATATTGCTTATTTAGTATTTTTATTTTTCTTGTGTTGTATTCTATATTCTAAATAAACTTGGTAATGTGTTCGTTGAAATAGTAGCAATTTGTATCAAGGTTTGTATGGTAGGTTGTATTTTATAACACACTTAGTCCTGTGCTCAAACGCTCTGTCTGCAATGTCACAATATCTTCTGGTCAATATTCCACGGTAATACTGTTACAATGTTATCCAGCAGGATATGACAAGGCTTTTCATTAATTACCCATGCTGCTGTGCAACGTATCGTTTTGTTACGTGCAGGTCCACATGACAATTTCATAGCTGGTCATACAGAAGTTTCTAAGAGATGGTCAAGATCACCGCATTTGTCTTTGTAGCTTTCTGAAAATGTCACATTGAGTTTGTTATGAATTATTGTGATAAGATGAAATTTCCATATAAATTTACAATCCACCTATCAAGGTTTATAGTATTCATATATGATTTCTCAAACTGCAGAAATATCAAATCCGATAAATTACTTCGTTTCATTTTTCTGTCAGTGCTATTGTGTTTATAGCTGTTAAAACAATTGCTATCAATCCTAATAGATTCCAATTTAATGAAAACATGAGAATACTCTGTTATATTTGTTGGGTTCAAATTTCAGGAATTTTTTATTTTGCAGATGAATATCACCCGTGTAATACACAGATTGATGTCAATTTTTCCATAACTCAATCTCATTTGTTTACATGTTTACAAGTTTTACATGACATAAATCATAAATAGTTACTTACGTTTCTGTTTGATGTTGTGATATTTTCGTGGAATCCAAACAGAGTTCTGATCAATATTTTCTCTGTCATCATCTGGCCAATGAAAACCAATACAGAGGTCATACACAACGGTACCAAGAACAGCTCCTATGTGAGGCCCGAGGACTGGTATCCAAAAGTAGGAGTAACCATTATAACTGAAAAAGGCGAAATAAATTATATCTTACCATTCTAATTATGCAAAACTGAAAAAACAAGGGCCGTTAAAGACGAGTTATGCTAAACTTTTAGTATGAAAAATAACAAAGGGCAATAAATGAGCTATGATTCTTGTGCACTACATTCCTTATCGCTAATATATATCTACCTATGACGTTTCATGTTAATACCTCTTATAGTTTTAGTGTAATGCTCCGAACAAAATGTAAGTATGAAAAAATAACAAAGGGCTGTAACTCCTAAATTATGCAAAAGGAGAGTGATGGTTCTAGTGCATTGCACTTCTTGTTGTTGAGATTTATCGACCTATGAAGTTTTATGTTGATACCTCTTATAGTTTAGGGCAGAATTATGACGGACAGACGGACGGACAAAGCGGCGACTATATGCTCTCCTGATAAGGGAGAGCATAAAAATCATAAACTCTTCTTCGAAAAATTCTGCTACACGCAACACAAACATTGTGAAGGCACTTATATGGTTCAATGTTATATGGCTTAAGCAAAAGTTTTAGTAGAGCAATGTCCATAAAAATAAAAAACAAAAATTTTGAACAATGGCCATCTTAATAAGATTAGATTTAGAACTTGATTGAGCGATCGGTGAGGAGGTTCTAAAAGCATATATATAAATTTACAACGATAACAATGAGACAGGACTGACGAATTCTAACCAATATAACGTACCCACAACACCTTGCGTGGTGGGATTTAAAGATGTCTTTTGCATGGAAGTTTCATTTTAGGGTACCTAATTTTCGCAAGTTTATCCCAACCTCGGAAGACCATTATATCATAGTATGCATTAGACAGTATATTACAAAATATGAAATGATGAAGGAGAAAAATTTTGATCTGAGCGCTATATGGAGCTTCAATGTATAGCCAATTACAAAACTAGAAAACCGATGTAAGAACATAACTATGATAGGGAGTTCTTAATCTAATCGCAGATTTTAATCAACTGTCATGAATCACATGTGTAATGAAAAACGAAAACAGAGGATGGTATTAATGCTTGGATAAAGCAGGCATCGATGAAAAGTTATTTGACTATAGTATGACGTTCGAGAAACCAACGAATTACATAATCACTATTACTAAGAAGAAGATAGCCAAGTTATCAGCATTTTTGTTGGCTAGCCAAAATAGTAAACATGATCTTCATAAACCTCCCAGATAATAATCTGTGAATGTGAAAACACACCATGAGGAAATCTGATATCATATTTCCTCAATATACACACAATAACATGCTATAAAATATGTTGTGATAGATAAAGGCTAAAGACAATAGGAATACTGTACACAATGACTACTGAGGTTTGTTCTAATTTGAGCATATCTTTACGAGTGTAAAAGATAAAATCTATAACTTCGTTCAGCAGTAGAAATATCTAGATAATAGTTTTAATGATAAAGCATTGCTCTATATCTAAGAAGTGGACAAAAGACACCAAACGAAACATAATTAGAATGAGACAATAAACCAAACTTAATAAATACATCTTATGGTTATTTCGACCTTATATGACTCATTAGTGATGTTACATTATACGCTGTTCGTCCCTGTAGGAATCATTAGTGATGTTAGATCATACGGATATTTCATCCTCATACGACTCATCAGTGATGTTACAACATATACTGTTTCGTCCTTGTAGGACGCATAAGTGATGCAACAGCTTACAGCTATTTCGTCCTTATAGGACTCAACAGTGATGCTACATCATACGGCTATTTCGTCCTTGTAGAACTAGTAATTGATGTAACATCATACGGTTGTTTCGTCCTTACAGGACTCATCAGTGAAAACCAGTTGGTGATGAACGAATTTTTAATTAGCTCGAGATAATGTCAATATATAAATACAATTTAATATGATTCTACAGAGTGTTTCTTTGTCTTTATAATATACATATATATAATTGACATAATATGCAATCTGTTTGAACTTATTGGCTTCCAATAATAGATTTAAGGCTGGCTACAATGGTTAGGAAATTTCCCAATTTCCCCAATACCGTTTGCTAATGGTGAAGTATGGGAGAGGTTAAGCTATCTCATCGTTTATGAGATAATGGTTATCAGAAAGTATAAAGACATTTAACTGTAAACATGTTCGACAACATCCGGGTCCAAATTCCTCATAGTTAACCAATTGATATGATACAGGAAAAAACACTTTATCAGCCCAACAGGATATTTTTCAATGTGGTTGCTCAACATAGATATATTATGATACATTATGGACGACGTGAGAATATGTCTCCAATAAAATACACTCATTCACCACACTACATGTATATTTATGCATCTGTTTACATGTATACGTTGTGTAGTGCACAAATAGCTGGTTATTACATTGACAGACACACGGAGGTTGAGTGAGGCACTTGAATACGTATTCAAATCAAGGGGTCTAACGGGCCTGTATAGCTCAACTGATATTCAATGTCTTTTACGACCATGTTAAAATTCCTCGCCCCTGCCAATCAAAGTGTTCCTAAATTCCACTAACTGATCCTCTTCTGAAGAAGTGTAATTAATATAACTTATGATATATTTTAACAGATAATATAACGCTATACAAACAAATTAAACTGCTGTCTTATAAAAACTATCTAGGTTAATTGGTTAAGCAAAAGTAGAAACTATTAGTATTTTATCAAATCTTATTTAGGTAACCTTGGACTGGGGTCAAGGGGTTCTGCTCGCAGTTTACATATCACAGAAACTTTTCACCCAAATACAATGGACCGAGACCTTTTGATTAATTAGATGAAGCCGTTTGAGTGTTTCAACTCCTATGCCATGAGTTAAGGTAATTTATTTTCGCAATATTTTTGACAAATTTGACCATTTGACATAATACTGTTAATCCCAGATGTGTATTAAAACAGAAACAAAATACCAACATGTGAACATATCATTATCCAAACTCCAATTCCATAAAATTAGGGCACAAAGTGTACAAAGGTGAGATTTACACGGAGACTCATGAAAAATTACAGCGAGAATAAGATCATGTGTTCCGGAAGGGTAAACGTCTTTTGATTCATCGACGATAACCGCATCAGTCTTCTTAGAAAACCTACATGTAGCAGCAAAATATAGTAATTTTAAATTGTTTGGTCAATCAGAAGAAACAGACAATGGTTTCATTTATGTGGAAGAATCTGATGTCCTGAATTCCAAAATGAACTTTTTGTACGTGTGTGTGCATATGCTACTCCCATTGCATAAATAAGTACTTTTACGTTAATTTGTTCAAATCGACAATATTTTTATTCCGTCTATGACAGTTTTTACCGAATTCATTGATAACATACAAACTGAATGGCAGTTATGGTCTTATAAAGACCATAAAATAAGATAGAAAATATGAAAAACATTAAACTTAAATACAATGTACAAGTGTCATCAAGTGCCCTAATGTTACTAACCTAAAAGGTTGACTTCCCCAGCCAGCCATTGCGGTAAACAATCTAGGTGATAAGTCACGGGCTGGGTTCACTGCACAACCGCAGTTAAAACAGAAAGTGGAGTTTATAACGAAGACAAGAAGTCCGGTACACACAGGTATCAGTCCAGAAGGCGGATTTAAGTTATTTTTATCTGACAATGCAGACACACATATCAGTAAGATTGCAGAGCCAAATATCTGGAAGGAAACGAAATATTGATATCTCTGTTTGCTTGTTACTGTAAATTCATGTTTGTGAAAATATAATCAGTTCAGATTTATACAAAAAGAAATGTTCTTATTAAAGAAAATATTTGATTATGGCTTTCGAAAAAATACAAATATTTAGAAGATTTAAGGATTGATTTTAGTTTATGTAGTTTTCACAGACCTGATCCACCATGCCATTGGTGACAGATAGGAAAGTCTGTGGATATGTCGCCCATATTCTAGCAGTACTGGTCAGTCCAGTTGTGGATCGAACGCCGTCGTCATAGTGATACAGGGCATCTACAAATAACACATAGGACATGGCCCATGTTCTCTCTCATTTGATATAAGTATAAAGAACAAAATATACATATATGTATGAATGGGTTTCTAAAAATATCAAACCAAAACTGTTCGTGTCTGACGTTATCATGTCACGTGTAGTTTGCAACAGTTAGGAAACAAGAAGCTTTAAGTAAGAATGACAATAACGTCCAGTAGAGCTAACACGCAAAATCAATCCCATATTTCAATATTTTGTACATTTGTTTTTTAACCTGTTATATACTTATCATATCACATTTGACCTAATGTTTTAATTCCATGTTATGTGACACAGCTTTCGCTCAATGGTGATTCTATTATGTACGATATGTGGTTATGTTGACAGACTGTATTTGAAAAAATAGCTGAGATGAGTGGTCTGACCTTTCTATGTACACATTTAATGCCGTAACGCTAATATGATTTATCAAGAAACAAGTGTAACTTGACATCAGGAGAAGACCTTTGCTCCTGGAATGACAAAAATATTCAAAAAAGGATTCTGGCCCTTTACAAAATATGAATATTAATGAGTGTTTACAATTATTTGACAGTGTCAGTGGGTGGTGGTTTGGTAAAATACGGCTTTCCCTCGGTCTCGCTATAACTTATATGTCAGTAAGTCACTGCTTTATGTGATGTCGTAAACCCCGACAGCCAATCTCTAAAGCAGAAAGAATAGAGACAGATATCTTTGTCGAGACGAGTGTGTTACTTCACGATGTTTGGCATCGTTTTGAAATTCCTTATTCAAGAATGCAGCAATCTGCACTTTTTTGTTGAATATAATATGTTTTTACTCTTGGAATAATTACTGAAACATGTGTTACAAACAAAGGTGACGAAAACATATCGGTCTTAAGCGACCCAAAGAGCAACAAAGTATTACTGGTCAGATACCAAAGAAAGATTGAGAAATTCTATACACCTGACTCAATTATAAAATCTAACTAGTCTACCAGCAGGAAAAATATATTATAGATATTTCCAATTTGTTGGTAACACTTCCATTTCATCGTAAGGGAAAATGGATGGACATTGGAGAATCATGAACCGAATAACGTCATTGAAGAAAATTTATCTGACAGCAAGGATCTTTCACCTAAATGATAAACTTCGGTGAATATAAAGGCACCCAGAAGAGGTCGAACAAGACTTTTCTTCATAACGTATTGAATGACTGGGCTGGTGCACCTACCCGTTTTGACATTTCTTTCAATCACTTTTGATCATCCTTCAGTTGCCCCATAGGTTTTAACATTTGCCCGTGGCAGTACTGACCAGTCATAGAGGGACGAAATATTTGTATGCCTATTTAGCTCAAGTGAATCTAATTCTAACCTTGTATATGTGTGGTCCACTTGTGTGTTTTTGGTACCATCTTTTTCATTACCAAACAAAATTTACAGACGCAAAATATTTAACATTCTAACCCTTCAAGGAAATGAAGAAACTGCGCGTTTAATTCCTCTGTACGTGTGACAGGTAAAGGATATTTGTTTTTTTACATACTAACCGTTATAAACGAGATACAGTAACACAGAGGCAAGGAAACTTCCTCCGTATTGTCCTGCCAAATAGAACGGAACTTTAGTCCAGGCCAGTCTCCCTCTGACAGCTTGTGCTACGGTCACTGCTGGGTTTATATGCCCACCTGAAACAGGTATTTTTTCATACAACAACTTTGCATTGCCATATTTTCATTATCGTTATTTAGGATGAAATTTGTTAAATTTACTGAATTACGGGACTAGTGCACCAGTAAATATTTTTATATTTTTTTTCGATCACTTTGAATTTCCCTCATTCGCCCCCTTGCTTTAACAGTTAAGTCCCTAGCATCACTGACGAGCCATAGAAGGACGAAACATCTGTATGATACAGTTTAAAACATTGCTTGGCTCAACTGTATCCAGTTTTATATTAAATGCGCCGATCAGTTGTGGATCATTTGTATAGCTATAGATCTGGACACCTGAGACAGCATATGTTTATGATGAAAAGTTGACGTAACAATCAATGATGAAAATTACAAACAGAGTAATTTCAATATTGATGTTAATCTAGAATTACGGTTATAGAAATTGGATGGCCCATGTATTGTGTATAGGGATTTTGTCACATGACTACCTGTTGATGACGTTAACAATTTGGCATGCTTTAATACATTGTATTTATCTTTTATTCACCGATAAATAATAACGTACTGCTTGATTATTCTTACTGTAAAATGGAAACTGAATATATTAAACATTATATGTAATCAGTCAGCATACATAAGATCACGTTCCCGAAGTCGATAAATCATGTCCTATTTTTTTTGGTTTTAGAAGAATTACGAGAAGACACGTTATACAAATTACCTGATGTCCAATTATATTGACTCGATTTCGTATAGATGAAATATCTCAAAATTGGAAATTCATTAATATGTTTCATATTCACACAGTAGGCTGAATGCCACTTCGTATCTCCCAGTTATGACGAAAGCATATAAAAGTTAGAACAAAATCATGGGTAAATTTTCAATCAAAGGTTCTCAATTTAACTTTATAAATTACATACCTGATACCCCTCCAGATATGTACACACCCATCATCACACCGATCCCCTGAGAAATGTGGACAGAAAGAGCAGATCCTTGGGTCCCACCACTTAACACCAACTGGGCATTCGCACCGTCACTTAGCGCCTGGGTACCACCAGTTAAAAATGAATACATGTTCACATTTCCAAGAAATATATATATATTCAAATATAAAAGTTGAATTCTCAGTATATATATATATGTGTGTGTGTGTGGTTTGGGGATTGACAATACATTAGAATGCTGCGGAAGACAGTGCATAAGCCTGTCAGTACTTATTTTCATACAGTCGTTTACATAACTGTTTTGCAAACTTGTTCTATTTTTCTGAATAAAATTGAAACTAAGTATAATGTCAGGAAACCCAATACGTGAAAAAATACAGGTATGTTTAGCATTGTAACCGTACATCTAAGGACATTTGAAACGTGTTTGTATTCAGGATACATGATATTCATGTTAATCATTAATAGATTTCTCGGTTTTGAAACGCGATGTATAACGAAAAAATAATATATACAATATGATTTATTTTTCCCCGTGCATATGACAAATTATAGCCCATAAAGTGTATACGACAGGGATAGTTCAATGCTATCGTTAGGATGACGCTTTCACTCAGCCAATACTACAGTAACATATTGTGATGGATACTTGGACTATCAAACAAGGGTTGATAAAAGTCTGATTTTCACTTTTTCCTCATGGATGAAAAAAAATGGCTAAAAATGAAAACATATAAAACTAGAAATTGTTGTTAACAATTTGGCGGGCTTTTCACTTCTTTGGCGACAAATTGACCGGAAATTGACATTTATCCTGATAACAATATATGAGAAAGATTCCTTGTTTGTTAGTCTCTACAACATATCCAAAGATGAACTTTGAATCATGAAACGTTAAGGAGATATAACTACATAATAACGAAGAAATACACTTTTTAAAGGTTCAAACATATTTGACCCCTGTGACCTTGAATGTCGGTCAAGGTTATTCATATTTGCAAGCCTTATAATGTAACATCTGATAATCAATATATCACCAATATTAGTTCTCTAGACCTTGTGAGACTTGACAAGAAGATTGTTGAACACTGGTACCCTATTTTGTATATTTGAACTTTGACCCCTTTGGGAAACCGAAAGTCAACATTTTGAGGGAAGTTTTCCTTATGACAATCACTAGGAAGTCTCCACAGAAGGTTTATAATCAATTTTCATCATTGTATGCCTTCTAGAAATTGAGAAACTTGCATTTAACAATTTTGAGTTAATTTACATCTGTGACCTTGAAAGTGGGTCCAGGTCATTTATATTATCAAACTTCGTTGCCAGTTACATATGCTTCATATGTGTGAAATATAGAGCCTCTAGGCCTTTCAGAATTTGAGAAGAAGTTTTTCAAAGATTGGTACCCTTAATAGCAATTTTCAACTTTGACCCCCTACTGCAAACCGGAAGTTGAATTTTGAGGTATGTTTCTCTTATATCACTCGACAGGAATGTCCACAGAATATTTGTGTTCAAAGTTGAAGACTTTGGGCAGCTTAACAATGGAGAAATTATCATTTAACGATTTTTACATAATTGACCCCTGTGACCTTGAAAGTGGGTCAAGGTCATTTATATTAACAAACTTGATAGATAATTGATCAGACATCTTACACACGAAATATCAAGACTCAAGGCTTTGCAGAACTTGAGAAGAAGTTTGTCAAAGTTGGTAACTTAAAATAACACTTTTGAACTTTGACCCCTACCAAAGGCCGGAAGTTGACCTTTGATCCCAGTTTTTTTCTTGTGAAAAGTGTTTTTTTATTATTTTACTTAATATGATTAAAACTGAGGTCACTAGCTGAAACAGTTCTTGAGTTACGGCATTTTAGGTAAAATCGGATATGACGTCATGGCGGCCATTTCGTTTTTCTGATGATTTTGTAAATGACACTAAATGGTAGAGGACATCTGGGGAAACCTTTCTGATATAAATTATTCCAAAAAAAGCCCGTTGGTAAAGATCTAGATCGAGTTTTTCCAAATTGTCGGCATTTTTAAAAGATCGAAGGAAATTTTCAAAATGGCATACAACGGAAGTGGTAAACGTTACAGAAAAACTAAAATCACTAAATTCATCGGAAGGACATTCTGCATCGATGTGTTAAAGAAATTTTCATGAAAAATCAAAATTGAAAAAAAAAAATTTGTTTTCAAATTTTCAAATATTAACCCCACAGCGAGCTTTTTTATTAGACATATTTTGTATTATAATGGCACGGGGGAAAGTTAGATAAGGAAATTGTCTACAAATAACATAATTGGACAAACTCTGTACACTCAACGGTTTTCGAGTTACGGCCGTTTTAAAGTTTTTAACTTATGACGTCATAGTGGCCATATTGGATTTTTGACCTACTTAAAAAATCTGCATCGTCACCTTCCAGTATGTACCTATAACATAGTCAATACATATTAGGTGTGATCTTTACCGTTTAAAAGATTACGAACCCACAAAGTTCGGAAGAAAAAAAATAATAATAATAATAAGAAACAGAACAAAAACAATAGGTCTTTTCACCAAATGGTGAAAAGCCCCAATAAGATATGTTGAGAAAACCATAGTCCGTTTCCTGTTTTCAGGTAAGAAATCCCCCTTTTTTTTTTGCTCCCAGCGTTTAGGTATGAATAAATTTATTTGCTGAAAATAAATGTTAAACAAATCAATATATTATTCAGGCAAAGTGTATTTACATATACAAGATTTTATTTTAAAATTTAACACACTCTTTCTTAAGTTGATATCTGATGTACAATTATTGTGTTTTGTATTTACCTTTCCAACTAGGTCAAAGAAGTGACGTCATAGGGATGATAAAATCTGCACAATTTATGTTATTCTCTTTTTTATATACATAAACAACGATGCCTGCTTACGTAATATGAAGATTGATTTAATGACTTACCATCAACATGAACGTGCCAAGAAATTCGGCTAAAGCTTCCCTTCTGATCGATTTTGCCAACATATTTGTATCAATATACGAGCGTCTATCCTAAACACATGTTTCGGTTGGCAACAACACCATGAGCGAGGGTTTTCATTTTTGTGTGTGATCCGATTATTTTGAAATCAGAAAGGTAAAGTAGCTTTATATAAATAAACAAAGAAACATTTAACGATCAAAGCAAATTAATTAAATACGAGAAGGAACAATAGATATGTATTTATGTGTAATATTTCAATATGAGATGTGCGAACGACTCTTCAAACAAATATCAAAATAGCATTATAGCTGCTGCAAAAGTAAGCACGCCACCCTGAAGATTGTCGAGATTACAGGTGTTATCTTTACATGTCAGTTAGTTTATCCTCGACAGAGATCCCTTATTATTATCACGATATATCCTCAGCTAACTTTAAGTATTGTCAACCCCTACAAACAGAAACGAAATGGGATTTTAACAGTTGTTAGCTGTCACATACGAAATACATAATACTCAGTATGACGAATATCTTCCCGACATAAAGTTTCGAGATATAGATGTGAATGAATAAAGGGTTAGTTTTATGACTGCCATCCCTGGAAAATACAGTAACGGCTTTAACGGCTTTGAATGGTGACATTTTTTTTTATATTTTCGGAAATGGATTTCAAAAATAGCGAAAAAAAAAAACAAATAAATTACGTTGATTGAGAAAAATCTAAGTCAATCCCATGATATCTGTGAACATCAACATTTAGCTCCAATGTTAGGGACAAATACACAGAAAACATATCTGCTCCTACAATGTAACTGCAGTGTATGCAATGCTTGTTAGGTTGTGTAGTAGTTTCATTCTCACTACCATATCTCTCATTTTCAAAACGTAAATCGATCTCACTTAACTAAGATTTACATGAAAGGTATGTTGCTGCAGCTAAAACAGGCATGACTGGCAGACACACCTCTTGTATTTTCTCGCTTCTTTTTAAATAAAATTATTTTGTTTCCTGGGTTTAATATATAGGGTTTTGTTTACATCTCTGACTATAGTTTACAATGACATTTGATAGTTTGCGAAGTACGTTGTATAAAACACCGAACTGTGGGAGATCGCTCCATCTGCAGTTTATTTCAGCGTCCTGTTTATTAACGTACATTACTTCCGAAAGAGTCTTCTTCACATCCAGAGCATTGAGGAAGATTACTTAAAGCAATCACAGCGAAGTAATAGGAACATCGGGGACATTTATAGCGAAATATTTGCTCGATGTCATCGACAAGTAGAGCTCAGCTGGATGTGTAAGTCCAAACCTGGCACACATATCAACATTCAGTGCACTACACAAAGAAGAGTTCATTTCTTTACATATGTCAGTCAACAACGGAATCTGGAATTGAGTTTGTCAATATCTTTTCTCTCACATTGATCTAATTCCAATGACGTTTTTCCCCAAGAAAAACACTGCAATCTATTTATTTAAATATTCTTCATTAACGTTAGATCTTTCAAAATTTCAGCATTTTACAGAGAAATGAAATTTGATACATGTATAATTATAATTAGTATAAAACTAACGAATCTGCTCTACGCTTTACTCGGTTTTTTAAGGAGATGCACTTTCGTTGAAAACATTCACTTTAAATCCCAAAACTGGCAAACCAAAGAAATGTTATTCTTACGTGTAGATATACAACAGAATAGTGAAAATAAGACGAAAATTTACTCATGAATTTATTATGCAATTTCAACAAAATACTATACATACAAGATACACAGTTAACAGATATGACGTCTTCTAATGATAAAATCTTCTGATATAAAAACAACAGTAAAAATCACTTTGAGTCAACATCACTTTCCGGGATTTTGGCATAGTGAATTAGCGTTATTTTGTGGATTTCGTTGCTGAAAATTGTCACATCAAAAATGCAAGCTAACCTGAGCAAACACTTGTTAAATCAGTTGTATCACCTTTATCGTGTAACAATGACACATAATTAGGTAAGAATCCTTAGTATTGATAAAAAAAGTTTCTAAAAAAATGGAACTTTATATGGGACATGTTCCTTGATTATGATACATAATCTATAAGACATGAAACAATATATTTTCCGTGATTTTTAGTACCATCAGAAAATTTCTCTAATTTCTTTCCGTTTGATTTGATTTGATTGGAATTGCTTATATAATAATAGAAATTATTTTCAAACTACGACTTTATACAAAAGGTAGGATTATCATCAATACCCTGTTATAACTACAGACACAAGTGCAAGATCATATTATGCTGATATGAAAACAAGCAAATCTCAATATATAGTCTTATATAAGAATACAAGGATATCTAATGGAATATAAACAGCCATGAAAAACAATACAAAGTTTTACTTATATAATATATTACATAGTGAATAAAGAGATAAAGAAATCAATGTAATAATGGCTCCTTTCTTTCCATCATTAAATGAAAATGTCTCTGACAAAATATATACATATTGATATATATTCACAAATAACTTTATATTAAGTTGCACAAATATATGTGAACAAAATTCATACTTCTGTCACTGTCTGTGACAACATGTATCTGTGGCTGAAGAAGTCTTTGAATTATGTTTTAATAAATCTCCATGTGATTTTCTCCTTTTTCTGTTATAGGATGACACTTGTTACTCACAAAAACACATCAAACAAACAAAGAAATCATACCTGGACCAAAAAAAACCCAAGGAAATACCAATATATGATCAGAATCATTCACCAAACACAACTTCAATAGGGGATATACACAATAACAATTTACAACAACGAAAACATCAACAGGTGTCCTAACGAGTATCAAACACTTCCATCTTTATATCCCACGAAGAATAAAATATTTCTCAATGAGATCACTACCATGACCATGAAAACCTCCTTGTAATTTTCATCAACTGGTATCACTAGAAACGTAACTTAACAGTCTGAGCCGAAGGTAAAATTTGTGGTGATATTATAAATAACGTCTATTTGTTTCCTCTAGTAAATATCATATTATGATTATAACACAGGAAATTCACAAATGCTAATTACATAATGAACCAGGAATTTAACATAAAAAGACGGACAGAATTCTGAGGTAAAGACATCAAACCCTCAGCAACAATACATAACTGCCATTTTATTTCTTTCCTTTGTTTTTGTCTAAGTCAGTTACATGCACATTTATGTCGATTCATTTACTATAAAACTCTTTACAAATATTACTTTTGAAACATAATAATTAGAATTTGTTCCATAAAACTGAAAGTTATGTTTTGAACATGTATTTGTGATCTACTCTTTCTTCACAAATCTAGTAACAATATAGCAACAACATACTTTACTTACAGATCTATTAATAACCTAGTAGTAACATACTTTTCTCACATAGTTTAGTAACAATCTACTCTCCTTATAAATCTAGTAACGACCCACATTTCTCAAGCAGTACGACCAACTTCTTTGAGGATCCAGCAATTTAATCTCACTAAAAATCTACTCCTGTTAATCTACTTAAAGACTGATATCCCCGACATGGCTTTGCAATCTGGTTTACTCGAGGAACTACACACAAAGAGAAAGTAACACATTGTGTTATATGTTTGATAACAAATTAGATTTTTATATGCTGACATCCATATTTAACGTCTTTAAAGACAGACGAGTATTCTGTTTGTAAACACCTATTATGCTTTGAAGAGTATTAACGGTAAGTCTCAAAGATAATTCTTTTTTGATGTACTAAATATGTAAACAGTGATATCAAAATAAGCACCTATAATGTAAAGTACATTTGTTAGAATAAACATGATAATGGACAATGGTTTCGTTGTTGTATTGTATAATGTAAAGTACATTTGTTAGAATAAACATGATAATGGGCAATGGTTTCGTTGATGTATCTAGTCCCAGCGACAATACTGGTACATGTATATTAAAATTGTCTTTTTAAACAGTACAACTTTTTATTTAACATCAATATTTTATCTATTTTATTTCTTCATCGTTGGTCAACTATTAGACATGCATTCTATTTGAAAGAGTGATCCGAATATCAATTAAACAAACTATCTAGAAATTAATCCTCAAAAAGAGCAGTATTTTTAGTAACATGTAATTCAATTCAATCAAAAATCTTAAAATTTAAAAACAAGTTTCCATACCTAAAAAGTCTTAATGAGGTGAAGGTACCAAATTGAAAAGGTATGAATTCCTCGGTAAAACATGATTATTTTTCTCCATCTCATTATTTGTTCCTGTGATATAATCTTACAGTAGGTTAATTTTACTCCACTAACTCTCACCACACAATCTAGTGAAACTTTGACTCTACTAAAACAAGGTTTATTCCAGTTTACTCTAGTCCCCTGTCACATTCTCATCTAGTTTATACGTAAGTGAATTACAAGTGTCATACATGATATTAAAAACTAGCCTTTGTCCAATGATAATTTGTCATTTTAATTGATCTTATCACAGCAATGATGAGCTGTTTGTAACACAAAACAATAAAATTTATAGTACATATCTCTATATGTTATCATGAAAAATGTATACTATATTCAATATGGAAGAAAACATGCACTTTGACAAAATGTCACATATAATTTTATAAATGACTTAAGATATTTCCAGGCATGTTTAAATTGGAAAATCATTTAAACTTGTCAGGAATGAAATCAACAACTGTAGATGTAAGTTCTAGTTTTAAATATAAATACAAGTTTGTATGTTGAGATACTCTGTAACATCAATGAAAGTGAAATTTTCATTATATATTTCACAGTGAGTTAATTGAAATATATGTTGTATTTGTACATTTATTTAAAAACCACACAAAAAGCTTCAACACAAAAACCTAATTCATACAAGACAAAGCCATTTTGGATACTATAGATTGTGGATTAATTTTCATAAATGTTCTATAAATCGAGTATCTATATTATCCAAACAGAACTGAACTTGTTGCATTAAAAGTCATGTAAATAAAGCATAAAGTTGTCACCTACACAAACGAAC